TTTAGTTTGTTTTGCCAGAAGCGTGGTGGTCATTATAGAGTAGTGTTCCTTCCTCCGAACGAAAAGACCGCGGTTCGATCCCTACACCAGCCAATCTTTTTTTAATTTTTTTTTTCGAAGTAATTAATCAAAAAAAATACTATGGAGGCATTTATTGGTTAGGCCGATTGTGATTCGCTATTTCATTGTGATAACTTCGAGAACTAACACAATCAACACGATTAAATAGCAGAAATAAAATGTATGCAAAACACAAAATATGTAGATGACTCGCCCTGATAATGCCGCCATCTTGTTTTTGATACAGCGCCCTCAACGGTCGATCACCTTGCCTATACACACTCTGTCACGTTTACCACTATACCTAGTCATTAGTGATGTCAAATTTGTGAATTCTTGTTTGTGACTAATTCATTTATAACAATTCAAATTCGCAATGAAATATTCGTATTAGGTATATAGATAGTATATTTATTTAAAATGGCCAACGAAGAAAAAGAGATGCAAGATTATTTCGAAATAACAAATAAAAATATTAAGTCTATATTTGGGTGGTAAAGGGCTTTCACGCTAAGTTGATAGTGACGTCAATATGTCAACACATACAGTGTTGCCAGTTGAAAGGAAATGACTGAATGACCAACCGCCCGAATCTGTCGGACGTTGTAATGTGTTTTGCAACCAACTCAAAAGCCGTCCATTTATGTTTCAAAATCAGCACTTGAAGTTCATAAATGAACTTCAATATTTGTATTTGAAGAACCATGAACCTAAACAATATACTGAATATGAAATTCAATGATAAGGTCTAAATTGGGTGTTTCTCTTTCTCTGTTCTTTTTGGGGCCAGCCAAATCATCACCATGTTCCTGTTTGGCAGATATTCTCCATCCATACAGTAGCGATACTTATTTTTAATGCAGCAGCTACTCTCTGTAATTCAGACAAATCATATTTGGATCATTCTGACAACACAAAATATCATTATTAATACCATCATTCAACTTACATCTCTCACAGCAGTAAGTGAAAGTAATGGGCAATCATTATCTCGTTCATTTTCGAAATATTGTATCAATGATACCACCATCTTCTGCGCCTCCGCACTCAATGGCTTAGGCATTTTGAATAAATCAAATTTCAACAATGATCCACAAATAAATCACAAACAATTCCTTGAATGTACAAATTGTCAGTAATGAATAATTCGCAGAGATCAGCTGATTACAACAAATCGCTTCTAGAAATGTTGAATAAATCTGGCATCGGTGTACAGTTTTGCCAACTTAAATCGATAACGCAGTTTGCCCATTTCGAAAGTTACTAGTATTTTTCGATGTGCATTTTGGGCACGACATTGTTACCAAGTATTGCGCAACTATCAACCTTTAAGTAGCGTATAATGTTGTTTTCCTTTATGTCTTATATCGTAGTACCGATGTGGAGTTGTTCATTATATTCTTATTATCTACAAATCTACATTTAATGATTGCTGATAATCAAATCACTTGATAATTGGAGGAATAAATCATTCAAAATTCTTTAAAAGGATTCCCATTAGTTAATTCTGATAAGTCTAACCTATATTTTCGAATAATAATTGTCTATAATTTGAATAGAATTGCAAAACACTTGAAGGTTTTTATCAAAGGTGTAATAAATTTTATACAATTATTGTTGCGGTGCTCTTTGAAATTGAGTTTTATGTAGTAGCCTCTGGTAGCCTTGTCAACAAATTATTCAGTTTTTCTCATTTTGTTGTTAGAAATCTCCGTTGAAGGGCGTTTCACTCTTCTCGATGAACTTGTCTTAGGTAGTTTTTCTCTTTCCGTAATCTTACTCTCTCTCTTTTCATGACACAAACAGCTTACTGGTGAGAAGAAATTAGTTCTCGAGTTTCTTCAATATTATCTCTTTTGTTTTCCAACAATTGTTCAATAAGTAAGAAAATATTTTGCTGAAAACATCTACATATAAATATCATAGACTGATATCCTAATTTCATTAGGTACCTATACATAAGTTTTTTCACAAATAAATTTCTTCTTACTCAATAGTCATTTCTTCTACAGCGTTGCAAAAAAACACGATTTTTTTTTAATAAATCATATTTTTTTCAATTTATACTGATTTTTACCTTTCATGGAAATAGTCTACTTCAAAATAATGACTTTTTTTCATTATTTTTCTCTATTCGCCCAAAAATATTTGTTGTCTAGATTCAAGGATGGAAAATCTCCTTGCCGATAGAAAAAAAACTTGTGATTAAATGAAAATTTTCAGTGGCATGCCGCGGCTTTTCAACAAGAAAATTTGTTCTCCGACGGCTATAACACAATAATTTCTCTCTACTGTTTTCGATAAATCCAAGAGGTACTCACACGCTGCGGTCCAAAAAAGCATACTTTAGGCCCTTAGGACATGAATAACTCTTTCTTCACCGTGAAAATTGTAAAAATCAGTTAATTCAAAGCGTAATTCAAATCATTTTATTTAAGTCGTCGTTGGACCGAATTTGGGAGTTTTTTTTTCAAAATTCACTTGAACAAATGTTGGTTTTCACGATTTTCATATTCATATTATGTGTGATATACGGATATACTATTAAATACCTACATGAAATTCGAAAACGGAAATGAGTGTTATAACAGCACCATGACCGTGAAGAGATTCAGATAATAATACTAAATATTTTCTGCCGCTGACTTAGTATATAATACAGCAGAAGTGAAATTATTAGAAGTCGTTCATAGGTCGCTTCACGGTGATAAGGAAGTCGAATGAATCTAAACAATACAATTACTCCAGTAATAATTTTGTTTTCATAAAATTATATTATTGTTTTATGTAATACCGAGTGTGATATGAAAGGTAGTCTCAAAATTTACACTGAATTGCCCACACTATAGGGTGTCTAGCTATATATATTGTAAAATCGCGAATGATATCAATCGATATGGTGAAAAAATTTCAATGTTCCTGTCAGGTAAAAATATATATTTTGATGCTCCCTATTTATAATTGAATTAAAAGGTTCTGGGGAATTTCGATTCGTACTTTGCCAAGTTCCAAACCGGCATGTTGTAGGCATGAAATTGTGCAACTTTGCTATAATTTCAACGGCCCCGACATGAGATAAATTGACAAATAGCAGTCGATGTGACACTGAGATTGAGCAGCAAACTCAAATAGTGGTGGATTTGAATACACGTGTTTCAAAGAAACTGAATTAGCGAGTGACAGACTCAAATACCGGTTTATTTCAATTTCTGTGTCGCAAAGACACTGTGAATGAGCGACAAACTCGAATAAAGGTGGATTTGAATGCCCACGAAAGACACTGTGAGTGAACGAAGGAATCAGTTAGCGGTGAATTTTGATACCCTTGTCGCGAAGAATGCGTGACAGACTCAATAACCAGTGGATTCGCATACTCGTATTGCGAACACACTGTGAATTAGCGATGAAATCTAATAGAGGTGGTTTTTATTACCTCTGTCGCGAAGACACTGTGAATGAGCGACAGATTCAAATACCGGTGGATTCGAATGTCTTGCGAAGATACTGTGAATGAACGAGAGACTCAAAAAGCAGTGGTTTTGAATGCAAGTGTTGCGAAGAAACTGTGAATGAGCGATGGAATCGTATAGTAGGAGTTTTTAATGCATTTGTCGCAAAGACACTGTGGATGAGTGACAGACTAAAATACCAGTCTATTTCAATTTCTGTGTCGCAAACACACTGTGAATGAGCGACATACTCGAATAAAGATGGATTTGAATGCCCGTGTTGAAGACACTGTGAGTGAACGACGGAATCAGTTAGCGATGAATTTTGATACCCTTATCGCGATACCCGTGTGAATTTCAGTGTCTATACGTACAGGGTGTACCAATAATGTGGCAAAGTGAGATAACTGCTTCGTTGATTGAGATAGATGATCAAAAATTGTTGAGATGGTCTAGGCTCATAAGCAGCACATTTCTAAAATATTAGGCATTATACAGAAAGACTCAAAAAATCGTGACGTCTAAAAGTTATACTCTTCTCATGGGACACGCCGTATTTTATTGCATTGTCAGATTCTTCCTTGTGAGCTGATTTCCTCGATCTATCACATTTTAGGTTCAAGGGAAATACAGAGATCATGGGGTGTGAAAAATCGAGATATTTCAACTTTCTAAATCGAACGAATACAGTGTGGTTCATAATTCTGAATCAGCGAAGCTGTTATTTCACCTTGCCAAACTATTTGGTCCACCCTGTATATATAGACACTGAAATTCGGAGATTTCTTCTTCTATACCAGGTTATCAGAAAAAGTTTCAACAATTATAATTTCCTATTCCGATAATTTTTGCGATTTCGAAATTACTTTTGAAATTCGATTTTATTTTAGAGGTGTGAAATTCTCGGAGGAAAATAGAAAATGTTAACTTGATGAAACGAAGTTTTAAACTTGAAGCATATGATTTCTATTAGAAGATTTCTCTGGAACTATAGCAAATTAATATTATCATGCATGTTTATTATACATCAATCACATTATCAAATCATCATTCATTGTACTATCTATTTGAAATTCAGTGCGTGGACTGGTTATACATAAATCAAAAAGTAAAAGCCCACGAGAGAATGATCTATGTGTTTCTGATGTGAATTTAATATCGGGAAACATATTTAAATGCTAATTATTGCAGTTGCTGTAATATTGCAATAAAGAAAAACAATGTAATTCGATTTTTCATAGTACAGTGCGCAGACCATCTCTCTAGTTCGAACATTTGTATAGACTGTATTTATTCTTCTGTTGTCTACAATTATTATGTAATGGAATTGAATTTCTATAATTATATTTATGGATTTGAAAAATGTGAATGTTAATCGATTGATGATATTAATTAGTACTTTATCGAACTGAAATACATGATTCAAAGGGTTATTGACCTTGAGAATAAATTGGCAATGAATTGATTACTAATATAAATTTTCTCTTTCAGATGCACGGTAGTCCTTTTCAACACTAGAACAGAACAACAAAGTCATATTATTAATACGAGTAGGAAAACTATCACATCACTTGCCTTTTCTTCATGTGGGCGATATATTGTAACAGGTATGATATTTCAACTATTTAATATAATTCAATCACATTTTCAGATATTTGCAATATTCTAGTAGGTACTATACATGGTGTTTCATAATTTGATATCAATATTTGCATTTGAGGAGGAGAAGGAAGTTTCATATAATCGTCATATATGACCTAAACGTCTCAACTTTTGAGGTACAGGGTGGCAAAGATTTCAAAAATTAATAGTTTTTTATTAATATCTGTTATACCACTTCAGATATTCTAATGAAAGCACGAAAACACGGGAAATTGACTCTCGGTCGAATTGGCTGAAATTTTACTATGTTGTTGTGGGATGGCTCATTAGAAAAATATGTGAGTTTGAAAAGTTTTGTATGTTTAGTTTCTGAGATATAATCCGACAAAGTTCGTAAAAACGTCGTATCGGGGTAGGATTGACAAAGAAAAAAACTGTTTTTTTAGTATAAATAAGACAAAATAAGCTAGAAAATGTATTGATCGGAACTCATAAATATGTCTAGTTATAATCACATAAATTATAGTAAATCAGGGTGTATACGAGGCACGGTCAAAAAATTCATTTCTCGGAAAAAAAAATTCGAGCACTATTCCAAAACCAACAAGTTATATTTTGGTGGGACATTATAGTTTTAGTCTATTGTAGGCTTCGAAAACGTATTTTGATTCTTGATAACTATCTCTGTTCGAACTTTTTAAAATTTTGTGTTATACCCCTTTTTGAAAATTGTCAGCTTGTTTTTGATCACAAAGAAAGGGATTGATTGATACTGTTGATTGAATGAAAGCTGAGGTAACTCACAAGCGAATTCAGTTGTTCAATATTGCCTTTAATTTAGATACAGGGTGTGTTAGATTTTGTTGAAGATTATTTAACATGTTTCAATTGAATATCTCGAGAACAGTTCCGTTAATTTGGATCTCATTTTGCTCACACTATTTTGAATATGTAAGTATTAGCAACAATAATAAAACGGAATATTCATCGAATATAAAACTTCCTAAATGGACACTGGGATGTCTTCTGTCCAAGATCATCATATTACTTTATCAAAATACATTTCAACTATCCATTGTCTGTTTCAACTTCCAAACAGCAGTAGTTCATCTCATATTGATTCATAAAATATTTTCAGGAGAATGCGGGCACCAACCGGCAGTAAGGATATGGGATCTACAGTCAGATCCGCAGTCAGGTCAACCGGGTTTAGCTCCGCAGCCTCAGCAGGTCGCGGAGTTCCTGGTGCACAAGTTCGGAATCAACTGTGTGGTAAGATATCGAGCGTATACAGCGTATACTGAAAGGCTGAGTACAACAGATTTCAGAAATGATTTTCATCAGGAATAGTTTCATAATGTCTTGACTAGATGATTTTTTTTTGTGGAATCTTGACTCTAAAACTGGATTCAGAAGCCATGAATCCTGAAATTTGATATCGACATATTATAAAAAAAAAGTCATAACAGCCTCAATTTTGAAAACTCACTTTTGTTCCATTGCAAACTTCAAAATTTGAGAATAGTGAGAACCTGAATCATTGTCAACAAAAAAAAACAGATCTTTGAGGTATCAGACAGGTCATCGAAATCATATATATACAGCTTGTCTCACTTTAGACGGACCCCCACTATGAATGAATTACCAATATGATCATATATTTATATACGAACTTCAGTTTGGACAGTGTCATCCGTTTCTATAGAATAAAAATACGGTCGACTTTTTATGGAATCATATTAGGAATTTTTCTTCGAAAAACTAACTTCATAGTATTCTTCCTCATGCTTTTGAATCCCTATATGGAAAATTTCACCTGTTTCCGAATCAACAGAATCGGCTTCATTTCTTGCAAATTTTGGAACGTTTAATAGCTCTGGTAGGTGAAAGATAATGCTTCAAGAGGTAAAACAGCGAATATTTTCTTCGTTGTTTATTTATTTCGAAAAAGTTTGACATGTGCTAATTGTTGGTATCAATCACTGTCAAATTTAGTATTATTCATCGTCTTTTGTTAATGTGAAATTACTGAAATTATAATTAGTTTGGAAAACAAAGGGGGCAAGAAGTTGCTTTTGCCCTTTTAATTTCAGTAATTTAACGATTCAACAGTTTTTGATCTAACAGAAATACAATAATTTCGACACATTGGTGCCGATTTTATTCACATTTGACACATTTGTAGCCAACCTCACAATACGAAATGTCTAATGTTTCAAAATATGGTCAATTATTTACGTTCGCAAAAATCCAGTCTAGATGTACCTGTTTCTTTAAAACCCTTAATGACAGTATTTACATAAGGCGGCTTAAAATCATGAAGAAAAAAATCCAAATTTGATTTATATTGATTCAGGACTTTCGCTTCGCCCAATGGACTGCTAGTAGTATATTTTTCAAATTAAAGCTAACATTATCGATTGTCTTTTCCTATGATATTTTCTCATTGTCAATCTAAGAATTGAGCGTAAAGATCCCCATTGAGAGTGAAAAAAAGGAAAACTGCTCAGTCTCACCATAATTTGAGCTTTTCTATTTATTTACATAGCCTTCATATTTTCATATTATAGGTCGCGTGCACGATGACCGACCCTGGAAGTAAAACATTGAAACACAACCTTACTTTTCTCACTTGTTCACAAAGGAATCAAAGGATTGAAATAGTTTTTCACAATATTTTGGGATACGAATTGTGTTTTTTTGGCCTATTCATTGATTCAAGCCTAACATCACATTGTCCTGTTGTACAATGCTCAAAAAATGCAGAAAAACTATTGTGATTATTTGTAAACAAATGAGAAAAGTGAGGTTATATTTCAATGTTTTACTTCCAGGGTCGGTCATCTGATAGAACTTGCATGCAACCCATTACCTTCACAACAGGCCACAGCCTTCAGAGCTATCTGGCAAAAATTTGGGACTTTTGACTTTAAAGTTGACGTTGACATCACGTTTTAGTAACTTCAACTGGTGAGACTGAAGATGTTAACCGTAATTGAGTGCATTTGGATGTTTTATGCCGATTTATTACTCAAATTCGGTTCATAGGCTAGAACGGTTCATGGTACTTCAATCGGAGATAACTAACTCAACTTTGTTTCAATACAGCTGACATCAAAATTACAAGCCCCAATATGGTGTACCATAGTTGTCTGTGTTCATGGAATGATGTAAACATAGAAAGTCATATAAAAAAATCAAGTTCAGGTAGAGCAAACACAAACGAACAGGCCTATAGTTAATCTTTCAGTTTTGCTCAAAACTAGACTGCTAAGATGCAGTGGATCGACAAAAATTTAGCATCTCATGATGAATGATTTCAAGGACAGCAGAGCTAAAAGAGGTCTGAGTGATTTCTATTTTGTGTGTCTTACCTATCTATATAGTTGATTTTCTATCTCACCGAGGCATGAAATTTCCATTAATTTTCCAAAGATGAGATCATCAACTATCCCAGTCATCAGTGTTCTTATTATTGATCCCCAAAATCCTTATATTCGTTTTTTCTTTAATAAAGTTGAGTGATTCTAGCTATGGTATTTCAAAATTCCCGCCTTTTTAAACTGTGGAATGCTGACGTGCGCAATAGCGATCTTGGCCACTCTGAGAGATGCAGATATATTGCCCTCTTTGTTTAATGTTGGCGTATTCTCCACGCATTATTGATATAAGCGATTCGCTGTCTATTATTTGAGCAAAGCGATAGCCTGAATAGTCTAAGTATTTACATCTGCCACACAATTCGGCTACACTACATAATATTCAATTTGTTATAGGCATTCTCACCTACTGGCAAATATGTGGTCAGTATAGGTACCCAACATGACATGATCGTCAACGTATGGGATTGGAAGAGCAACATCAAAGTAGCCAGCAACAAAGTCAGCACGAAGGTGAAGGCGATAGCTTTCGCTGAGAACGGCAGCTACTTTGTGACTGTCGGCAACAGGCATGTCAAGTTTTGGTACCTGGAACATGGAAGTGCAAAGGTAAGGAGCTTGGAGTAACTAGCTAAAATGAGAGAGTTATTTTGCTTAGTTTCTTTGTGGAAAAGTTTTACATTCTTCGAACCTCTGTGGAACCGCTGCCAAATCGGCAATTCGGAGTATTACTCGGATAAAACATCTTATTTATTTCGGTAAACTAGCTCATGACATTAAAATAATGCAATCATATCGATAAAAGTGCTATAAACTAAGGGTCGGTTGAATAAAGTTCTCTGTTAACGAGGAATCAACTCTTCTAATTCATCAGCTAAGGCATACGTTGCCATGGATGTAAACAAATTGAATATTTAATCGTGTCTCAAGTGAGTTTTGCAACCGGCCCTAAGACGAACAAAAAATAGCTATTTGTGTATTTAGAGCGCAAAGTGATAGATTGCCGCTCGACAAAGAAAGTTGGAATCTTTGGAGAGCGGCAATAACACTTTGTGCTCGAAATACACACAAGATTTTTTTCTACTAACGTAGCTTTTGGAAATACCCTGAAAGTATGAGCGATTGAAATAGTTGAGAAAGTTCTAATCCATATTATCCCATATGTCCAAAGGAAACAAAAAAAGAAAAATTTAAATAACTGACAAGCCAGAAAAAAAATGTCAGGCCTACCGAGAATTGAAACTGGACCACCAGCGTGGCAACCTGAGCTTCAGACCTCTGAGCCATAGTACGATAAGCTCTGCAATCAAATTGAACATTACTCATTGATGCAATAAAATAAAGATACACTGTCTTTCTGATGACAACAAAGAGTTTAAATATAAAGTATAATTCTTCGTTTTCAACAGATATGCTTCATCGGGAGCTTCTTGTAGAAATTTGTTGGTATATATCTTCAGCGGTGAATGTTTTGAATTTTTCTCGCTTTATATCCAATAGATTGTTTTTTGAGAAATGCGATAAGTTTCAGATACTTATTGATTCCGATATTATCTTTAACATTCAAGCATGTATACGTACCATCGAATATATCGACCAATGAGTTAATGACTTCAAAGTCTTTGATTTTTTGCCAAAATAAGCCAGTAAAACGTTTTCTGAATACATATTCACCATCTCGGAGTGGCACCAATTTATGAATGTATCATATTGTAATTCATATTTCCTCCTTGATTTCTCCGGTAAGAGATTCAAACTCTTGCGCTTTCTGCTATATCATCAGGAAGGAGGTGTGTTTGATGATTCACTGTCACTTTTTTCCATCATGAAAGAATTGGGGGTTTTCAAGAATAGATAAGTATAGGTTACAGAGATAAGCGAGCGTAAGAATGACATTTCTGGGAAAACGTCAACTTTGTGCTGGAATTTGAAAGCGTCAAAGGCTACTTTGTTAAGCGTTTGTAGAAAAAAATTACTCATGAGTTGAAATATCAGTTGAAATTGCATCTGACTGACAGCTAACATTGACTAATGGTTGAACATCATTATTAAGGCACTTACTATTTATCCAAGCAAAGTAACTCCGAGTTTCAAAACACCTGATCTGATTGACGGAAGGAATTTTTCAGAAATAACGGTGTTTATATTTTTCGAAAAAATGTCAGATAATCGATGAAACCGATAAAACTAACAAAAATAATAAAAAGAGTAGCAAACTTCATAGAAAGCATCCAGTTTATCAATATGTGTAGTGAACAGTTCCAAAAATTTTAAAAGATATTAAAAAAAAAGATGCAGTAACTTAGTGGCAAAATATGAAAAATGTATGAGCATTTCAATAACTAAAGGCAAAATCGGATTACTGTTAATTCTTCCTGCTCACATATCTGTTGGGGTTTCTATTTCTCTTTTAATCTGCTCGAGGATCATCAACATCGTGGGTTAAGATGAATGAAACTTTAAAAAAAAATCTTTCATCATCAAAGTCATTGAAAGGATAATTTCTTTCCCTCACAGTATAATATACAGTATGATGCAAATGTATGGAATAAATTCATTTCGAAACAAGACGACTTCCGAAAAAAAAACGGAATATAGACTTCCGAACTTTATTAATAGATTGATTTTTTTAAATAGACGACCCTTCGTTGTTCAATTCTCAGTAGCAGACCTCTGCAAGATTAAGTTAATCAAATGATAAGCCATTTTAATTTCAATTTTCTTATGCAAAATGTTGACTGTTGAATAGACGATCACTAGACCTTTCAAACGAGGTGTCACATGACCCCTGTTTTCATTTGAAAAAATCGTTCATTACGTCATTACTCCAACACCGGTGACGTAACATCTCTCATATGGATATCATGAGATGAGGCTTCAAAAATGAAACCTCACATGTTCTTGGAATTTTTTAAAATGTCGCCCATTTCTGAAATAATGAATTTATTCCATGCATTTGCATCATACTGTATATAAATATCATCTCATCTATAATTTCTACACATTACAGATTCTTCATCATCACTCCAAAAATCGAGTTACAGTAAACTCAGAAAATGATTACCAGTTTAAATAGAGGTTGAGCATTACCTCATGGTCGAAAAAGATGCAATACTTCATCTATTTATATTGGCGATATTCATACTGATTTTTATTTTCAGTACAAGGACACAGTCCCTCTGATGGGTCGATCAGCCATATTGGGTGATCAAAGGAATAATTATTTCTGTGATGTAGCTTGCGGCAAGGGAGACAGTGCGGATAGTACGTACGTCATCACTAGATCGGGACTCTTATGTGAATTCAACAATAGGAGACTGTTAGACAAATGGGTAGAATTAAGGGTAAGTGAACATCAATTTGTAGACTACTAAGATCTGATTATCCATATTTATTTACTACTAAAGTAAAGCTCACCTTATTTGACGTTTATTGACACGTGAAATAGTGCTTCTCTACCGGTCACTTCACTCGTCTGCGACTCGGAATAACTTTCAAAATATCCATGAGCTCGAAAAAATTTCCGGAAATAATTTGACCTCTAGTGGTATTACAAGTGAAAATCCGTCTTAAGGGTGCCGATTCATCGATATAGATATTGCGATTTTATTGAGAACCTCTAGCCCTATGGATGTGAACTGAGAGTACCTTTTTCTACGTGAAAAACCTTCAGGTATCATATTCTGAAATCAGAGAATGTGAAGTGAAAAATACTATAAAAAACGGGAATAGTTTTTACCCTCAACAGCTCTGGTATGGTACGCTCCTGATTGAAATTTCAAAATTCTAAGCCCAAATTTTGACCCAGCATTAAGAGTTTATGTGATATATACCAAATTTCATTATTATTGAATGAACGGTTTCGAAAATATTGAGGAAAAACCGTCTTCTTCAGGAGGCCTATTTGGAAGGCATAGCTTCCTTAGGGAGCATTTTTCATCAATTATCTTTAGCAACTTCCTTCCATAAAAATATCTCAGGAAATACACCACTAATGTTTACTAATGTTTTGGGAACACAAAGTATATGCGAAAATAAAGTTGAAACGTTTTTCTTTCAGACTACAAGTGCCAACTGTATAACCGTAGGTGAAAAATATATTTTTGTGGGATGCGCCGAGGGAATTGTACGATGTTTTGATCCTTCCACACTTAGATTCGTTACAACGCTACCTAGAAATCACTACTTAGGCGTAGATGTCACGCTTGGTACCAGCATACAGTGAGTATAACCACGAAAATATTCGGAAATACTCTAGATCTGCTTGGTACTTTTGTCAGGTCAACTGAATATGTCGAATTTGTTGCCGAAATACGTAACTATCTTTCTCAGAATAACTTTGTGGTTTAATCATGTACTTTCTGTACTTGTCAGTCTCTGATGTAATCTTAAATTGACTATATTTTTGTAGACACATGGCTTCTCCACCTCCAGATGCCAAATATCCTGATACAGTAGCGATAACATACGATGAGACCAATCACAAACTGACATCAGTCTACAACGATCACTCGATATATGTTTGGGATGTTTTAAACATACAAAGGGTAAGCAAAATATCAGTAGCTATGTCTCATCCAAATTAAACTAAACTAAAAACTACCGTGTTGCTAAAGTTTCCAAATCCTCATATTATTTGAAATATCTGAATGTCATTTTCTCTAATTTTCGGTTTCGCATTAAAAAAATGCAATTGACCGTACAAGAAATATATAACAAACAAACCTTATCAATTCTAAGATCAGTTATCTTGCAAGGTGTGAAATGGAAACTATAGTTGCAACAAATAATACATTTACAGATTACATATCAAAAAGATAAAAGTTCAGTTGGAAATTAACCTTTTTTGACAAAACTGATATCATCCTCCATATTGTTCTGGATGAATATCTGAAATTCTGGTCTCCTATAGATAGAGCATCCATCGAAAGACGTTTCAAATAATGTTTCACTCGACCCCCCACTTTCTATTAAAAAAAACTTCAAAAATGACGTCCAGGAGCCATTTTGAAGGATATATATTTTTATGGGATTCAAAACGAAGCGCTGGAACTATCACTGGAGCAAAAAGCCGTTCGAAAGTTTGCTAGGAAGGAAGTCACTTGTTATATCCAGTATTATATCTTTCAGGTGGGCAAATCGTTTTCATTCCTTTACCACTCCGCATGCATTTGGGGGGTGGAGATGGCACCCCCTAACAGCCCCTTGCCCCCAGGAAGCTTTTTGACGTGCAGTTCCGACGATACGATAAGAGTATGGACGCTGGACAAACTGAACGAGAACACTTCCAAAGGAATATACAAGTCGAATATATACAGCAATGTGAGTGATATTCCGTTGGAGTAAATATTTTATAAAAAAATATGCTGATTGATACAGTGTGTCCCAGATTCGCTTCTCTATACAGGGATCTCGGTCCCTATCATACCTACAGCAATGGTTAATGGGGATAATTTTAGAGGAATCTAAGTGCATTCCATAACTGAGTTCATATTTGCGATCGGTCAATTGGTACTGGAAATATCGGCGAAAAAACGAAAATGGCAAATTTCGTTTTTCGCCAGTAAATGCGAATCGGTTGATGTGACACCTGTCAAAATGTTACATTGTATAATCTTCACTATCACGTACTGTATAATCTTCACTATCACGTATTGTATAGAATAAAACACCAGTAACTCTTTATAGCTCGGCTATCGTATATTGCATTTAGCTCATCTTGACTTGCTACCAATATATGTTATATATATAATGTAGTTAAATAAAGCTCTATCTATCTATCTATCTATCTATCTATCTGTCTATCTATCTATTGACTGACTCACATTTCTGCCTCCACACATCATATCGCTATGTTACATAAACATCCGAATCATAGCCTGAATCATCTATATACTACATATATTATTAGTACACTTTCTTAGGACAGATAAGATAGTGTGCATGAAATTTCTCAATCGTCTTTTGTTATTTCGCAACCCGCCTTAACTTTCGAATTTCTCATGGCCGCTATATTGGAATTTTCAATTTTTCAGAAGAGCGTAAAATTTCCAGTCTACTGATGTAATACAAGTGCTTAAAAGATTACAGTGTCATAAAAATATCACACATTTTGGGTTTTTCTAAGGAGGTCATGATTTATTCCACAAAAAATAACATCAATAAGTAACGCATAAACTCATTGAATTTAAAATTGATAACATAAACATAAAAAATTACTTCCCAACAAGATGTTTTGTTACCAATTCCTGATTTTGAGTGTAAGAAAACCAGGTTATTAATGATATCCAGAACCAATTGACCGATCGTAAATCTGAAGTCGGTTATCGAATGCACTAAGTAACCTCTAAAACTTTCCCCATTTAACCATGGCTGTAGCTATGATAGGGACCGAGATTTCCGTATAGAGAAGCGGATCTGGGACACACTGTATGATTATTTGTATACCTTGGCCGCCAAATACATCTTGAGTGTTTCGAAAGAGAAGTTATCGCCGAGGCCGTTTGCTGCCGAGGCAAGATAATTTTGAGGTTGCTAAAATGTTTCGTGGCCATAGTGTATACACCATTTTCCGTGAATAATAGACAAGGACAATGATTTCTAGAAAAAAATACCATTACGTTCATCAGGCTGAGAATAGGCACAGAGAATTTCTTTGAATTCTTTATTCCTTCTAGGTTTCCCAAAATAAATTCCCAAAGGAATGCGTTCGTTAGAACGCGATGGAAAATCGGCAGCGGTACTATTAGTAGTCTGGAAAAAATCTGTAATTCACTATTCAGTGAGATACACTTTGTTACCGTCTCAACCGATTCTTCACTTGTTTGGATATATAGATTTTAATATTCATCGCTCTCAAGATTTAACTGATCTCAACAATGTCATAGATGATTTGTTCTTGGTTTCATATGCACTGGATTATGTCATATGACAAAGATATCAGAGTTATGTCACCAGAATTCGAGGTTAATTGAAATGTATGCCAAAATCGCTCAGTTTTGATTATTCAACATGGAGAAATGTGCGATCAGTTATAAAGTTGTTTCGGTTTTCATGCCAATTATTAGGTGATATACCAGATTTTTTTAAGGTTATATTGAAATTAGACTAATATACTTGTAGGCTGTATAAATATTGTGATCAAATGAAGTGTACATTTTTGTGTTCGATACTGACTTTAATTTTTCTAGGAGCTGCTGAAAGTTGTATACGTTGACAAGGATCTTTCTTACATCAAGGATCTAGATATTTCTGGAACAACAGAAAAACAAGAGAACTCATCTTATGATGGAAGAAATGGTGTTAGATGCATCACAATCAGTCCAGATGGGAAACATCTGGCATCTGGCGACCGTTCAGGTAAAACATGATAATAGTCATTCAGTGTTATGAGTTGTGTTATGATGCATGTCTTGTGCACATAACACATTGATACCTTTCGAACATCGTTAGGGAAAATTGAAATTTTCTTGAAAACGGCTGGTTTCACGGTATTCGTGAAAAATTACTCATTTTTAATAGCATCGGTTACGAGTTTCGCACCTCCCTGTATATTATATCATTTTTTCCGTATCATGAATCGATTAGTAAGATCAAATTACCCATAGGTTTCAAATTTCGTCAATCTAGGATCAATGGTAACAAAAATAATTGTAGAAAACTGCATTTAAGGACACAGCTGCAAGGGGATGTAGCTCCCATAAGAAGTATTTTCGGGCATATGTTGATAAGAATATTTTTTATTATTTCTATTGAATTACCTCCTGGAGAATACGAGTTAGTTCTGCTACAAAAAAAAAGAAAGCTATCAACATCGAGCTCATGAAATACCTGGAACATTCAGGTATTATCAACGATAGGCAATATGGCTTCCGTCATCAGAGATCAACTGGTGACCTGCTCGCTTACGTCTCACATATATGACAGCAATCTATTGAAAAATATGGTGAAACTTTAGCCGTTGCACTTGATATCTCCAAGGCATTCGATCGAGTCTGGCACCACGGACTCCTCGCCAAGCATCCATCTTATGGGTTGCCTCCCCAGCTATGTTCTCTGCTAGTTAGTTTTTTTTTTCAAACAGGTCTCTCCATGTAGTGGTCGACGGAGTTTCATCTGACTCTCTTATCATAAATGCTGGTGTTCCGCAAGGATCGATTCTAGCACCAACACTATTTCTACTCCATATCATAATTTGTTGGAAGCAACTTCATGTCCAGTACACAGCTTCGCGGATGATAGTACCCTCCATACCGCCTTCTCTTCCAGGGCTTCAATACCAGCCAAGCAAATCAGAAACGAACGAGGGAGAAATGTTGACAACATAAATATGGACTTGGCTATCATTCTCGAATGGGGATCCAATAACTTGGTAGATTTCAATGCAAACAAAACACAAGCATGCGTTTTCTCTAGAAAAGCCGAACTCACTGTGCCCAACATAAGCTTGTCAGGAGTAACCATACCGAAGACATCCATTTCGATGCTTGGTATAACTATCAGCAATAACCTTTCTTGGGAAAATCACGTGAGATCAATTGCTAAAAGTGCATCCCAAAAACTTGGTTTTCTGTTTCGGGCCAGGAGCTATTTCACTTCCAGTCAGCTGCTTATGATCTATAAGGCACAGATATCCTACCAGTCCTGGAATACTGTTTCTATATTTGGAGTGCAGCACCCAAACATACCCTGAAACTGTTGGATTCTGTCCAAAAAAGGGCAATTCGTCTCGTGGGTGATGCCTCGTTCACAAACTCACTCACTTCTCTGGAACACCGTAGGAAAGGTGGCGATCTGGCTCTATTTCATAGATATTTTCTTCTGAAATATCATTAATTGTTCTTCCCTTGGCAGTCTCCGCGAGATTAACCCGTCGAGTTGAGGCTTCGCACCCCTTCATGGTCACTTTGGAGATCTGCAGAACATCTCTTTCCAAAGACTCGTCCAACGAACAGCGAGGCTCTGGAGCACATTGCCATGGGAGGTGTTTCCCGAGGCATATAACCTCCAGAAATATAAAAAGGACACCAATTTCTACCTTATTTACCTTGGTTCTAACGATGTTCTCTGATCATTACACGATATCCCTTTTCGTGAGAACCAGAACATAAAAAAAATAAAGGGGATAATGTCCCCTTTGCGAATATCCAAACGTACCGCGAATCAAACTGATCTAAGTTAGTTAGAGAAACTGTTCTATCGTGAAAGCAGATTATCCATGAATTATCCATCGTTCATTGATACGTCCAGGCAACATCCGCATCCACGACTCTGCCAGTCTGCGCGAGCTGTGCAAGATCGAGGCGCACGACGCCGAAGTGCTGTGTCTGGAGTACTCCGACACCGAATTGGGTCTGATGGCGTCCGCTAGTCGAGACCGGTTGGTGCACGTCTTCGACACCAAGCACGGCTACGAGTTCGTGCAGACGCTGGACGACCATTCCAGCTCTATAACGGCGGTGCGGTTTCTGCAGGTAAGCGAAATCAGGACAATCTTGATCATGATTTATTCAAATTCAAAAAAATCGAATTTTATGACATTCACATCCAAAAAAAAGCTTTCATTTCTAACCGGTTTCACGCCCAATAACAGGAAATGCTACAAATAAATATCAGCTTCTGATTATTAATTACACTTTCACAGAATAACATGAGACAAAGACGAGGATTATATCTAAGAAATGCAGGATACTAACCATAACAGAAAAATGGCCAAAACAAGATTATTATTTTCAAATCGAAATATTCCGAAAATGGAACACAGTATAGAGTTTTACAAAAAGTACCTTTTTGGAGTGAAATTGAATGATGTTCAAGTTCACATCAAATTTGGATTGAAAAAGTCAACCTCAAAAAAGTTATGTTCAAAACTACTCGGTACGAACTGTGTTACTAGCGCCCTCTGTAAGAGTCAGATATAAAAACAAATGCATGCGATGTGTCAGATTCCATGAAACATCCATACAAAATTTCATTGCAATGTTGCCAGTAGTTTCGACATAATCTTGAAAAATGTGTAAAAAAACATTTTTTCAACCCCTTGTATCTTGATAATGGATGCCGTTACGAAATTTTTTTACTGACTATTCCACTCTTATCTCGAGAACCAATCAGAACCGACCATTTTCACGGTTTCTTCTGTATTCTAGCGATATTTTTTGTTTCTTAAATTTTATCGGCTTGCTCTACCAATACAGAAGCCGAATTGACCCACACGTGACCAACAAACCTCGTTTATCAGCGATAAAATTTTGACATCTTGTCTGGTCAAGATTGCTTTGGATTCAAATTCGAGACAACCTAACCTAACCTAACCAACTTTATTTTATTCACTCATAATTCGCGTTAGTGAGACATTTTGTACGAATGGCGAGACAATTTTATTCTGACTGGACGTTTCATGTTTAATTTGAAAAGTTTGCATATTTGTTGACGGTCTGACACAACAATACTGAAATTCAAATTCCTTTCTAAAGTAATCTTCTTCAATCACTCAAGTTATTATGACTAATGATGATGTAGCGCAACTGATAGGGTTGTAGCGCGAAGATACGAAGGTCGATGGTTCGAGCCCCTCGGCGACGATATTTTTTTTTTTCATTATTATTTCATGTCACATGTATTCCATTTATTTTGTTTGAATTGGATAGCACTTGTATACACTCTTTTGAGCGCAACCATCTCCAATATAATAAAAAAAATACTGTTTATCAGAATTGTACATTCCACTTTGTGAATAACTATAAGTAGGTAGTTAATTTCTGAAAAATTAAATTCTGTATTTCATTACTATCATTATTTTCTTCGCAGTTTGAGTTGGAATATAATTAAATTATGTTTCCTATTTCTTATATCTATTGTCTCATTCAATCATGAAATAGTCATACGAATACAACTCGTGATACTATTTTTCCTGGAAATATTCGTCGATTGACATACTCCAGCTTGCTGCTCTAACTTCGCTCATGACATTGATCCAAAACTACTCGCCTACGGCTCGTAGTTTTGATAACAATGTCATCCACGAAATTACTAGGCAACAAGCTGTCGTATCAATCACCGAATATTTCCGGCAAAATATTATCACTTGTGGTATTATATATGAGTAAACCCAACTTATTTTGCAGTGTTCTACCTACCCTAGTAAGGGGGTCAGGTTTTTTTGAAACACCCTGTATATAAACAGATATGTTTCTTGGGCTAATAAAAACAATCAATTATGTTTTTATAACATGTCGAAAAGGGAATTTTACTCTCAGTCACCATGGCTTAACCCTACTTCCTTGTAGCACGGCGGCAACACACAGATGGTGTCCTGCGGCGCGGACAAGAGCCTCATCTTCCGGTCGCTCGGTGAAGTAAACGGCAAGCCGCAGTTCAACAGGACGCACAACGCGACAGGCAAGACGACGCTGTACGACATGGAGGTGGACGCTGGCCAGAAGCACGTGCTGACCGCCTGTCAGGACAGGAACGTGCGCGTGTACAGCGTGAATACGGGGAAGCACACGAAGAGTTTCAAGGGAAGTACGGGAGACGACGGCACGTTGATCAAGGTGAGAGTTGTTGGGAGCGGGGAATGAGCGATTTTTTCTTCATTTCACGTAATCACATCCACGAAACGAAGATCTTGTACATGATCCCATATTCCATTCATTAGTATCATACTGAATGTAATACATTGACTAGAAAAGTAATTGAATAATCTTAATACCATAGAAAAATACTAACCGTCAAGTTAATGTTTTGTCATAGTTGGGTGAACATATACCTAGTATATAAGCAGCACACTAGAATAGGATATTTAGTTTTAATCTTCTCCTGAAGATGCTAACATAGTTAGCGAAACACGGTCGAGGTGTTAAAAAATCGGTTTGGTTAGTGGTAAAACAGTGTAGTGTATTATCGTGCCAAAGGTTCCAGTCTTCGATATAAAAAAAAATAAAATAAAATCAAATATGCAATACAATGAAAGATAAACAGTTCAATCAGAATTAATTGATACAAGGATAGAGTTAAATTGATAAAATATATTTCCTCAGTTCACACTAAAGTTTTGTGACGAATCTAATAGATTTCATTCTGTTTGGTAAGACTATTATCAATATTTATTCCACAAAATACAATGATTTTTTCTCAAATTGGGTTTTTATTTTTTTAACAGTTTTCAAATGTTCACTTTGTCTGGTGTGATGCTCATGGGTATCAGAATTTATATTGAAAGTAAGATTCGAGTGCCTTTTCTTATTTTAGGTGAAATGAGTGAGAATGTATACTTTCATTATAAAGAGAGAGTCAATATCTAGTAGATCTCTTGGTTTGTATAGTCTAGATGTTGATTCCAGGAATGGTAGTTTATAAATACAGTTTATGGCTTAATTTTGAAGAGATTTCAGAGGTTTCAAAACAGATTTTGCTGCAGTACCCCAGATCGATATCAGATACTGCAATTTAGAGTAATCAAACTGAATAAATTAATTTAAAGTTTTTGAGAGGTATAAAAGACCTCAATTTGTATAAAATACCTGAGCAATTGAATATGCGACGACCAAGATAGAGTCTGGTCTATTGTTAAACCATTGTCGTTCTAGATGACAACCTAGTTAGGTAGTTAGTAGGCAGGAGCTATAATGTTGTCTGTTCATTGAAAAGAAAAATGAAGAAAATATGTAGTTCAGAGACATCTACGTGAACTAAGTAAACTAAGTTATTCATTTTTTATTCCTAACCGAAACATTTTTCATGGTCCTGTCAAGTTTGTAAATAAAAATCTGTCCTGTTGAAACCCGAAAATGAAACATTATCACTAAAGATATTGTAATGATATTCCCCTTGAAGGGGCTCTAGAAACATCAGCAGGAAGGCAGAAGTACAACAATCATCCTGTAACACGCATCCCAGATCGTTCTCCAACCTCCCAATGATTCCTACATGCACCAGCATATTTCCGAACACTCAATATATGCCGCGGTGACAAATAACGTGACAGATGATTCTGGAATGTTCTGGAAACAATCGATGGAACAATTAGAGAGAGAGGTATTGTTCTAAGAAGCTTCTAGAACAAAAAGAAGGAGACGGAAGATCATTCGAGAACGTTCTCGAACCAAAGCCTACCAATGGATCTCATATATAAGACGGCCGAACAACTGCGTCAGGCAGTCAAACAGCGAGTGTCAGAGAGACAGTTATATACCGCGTGATATAATAAATCGTTTTACATAAATAGTAGTTATAAGTTTGATATAAATTAGTGTTCCTATAGTTGAAATAAATCAGTTCGAAAATAAATAGTGTCGTGTTCGCTTCTGCACCCGAATAACGTAACAATATTATCAAGTATGAAAATCATCTACATATACTTAAATAGAAGCAGGAAGATGTTTAGGCAATGCTGATGTATTAGGTTGACTAATGATGCAACTTGAATTTGATTTGGAACTGTGGAAACTTCGGAAACTCATCAGTGCTTTTACACTTTTTCGACATGCAAGCCAAGCAGAAAGGTAGGGGCTGCTCATTTCCTTCTATATAGAATGATAAAGATGCCTACAACGCAGGTGTCCCTACTGTTAAAAACTTTAAATTTCACGTCGATAATTTTCAGATTTCAAAATAATGTAATATCTTCTCAATATTGATTCGTGCTTTCTTTCTTCTTTCACAGAAAAAAATAGTGTATTATACACGGGAAAAATATTAGATTTTAGCTCACGGTTTTTTGTCTCCCGATTCATTTTCCGGAACTATAGCCCAACAAAAGCCATCAACAGTGTATATATACCGGGTGGCTACGGAAGTATTGCCTACGGAATATCTCAGTTATTGTATAAAGTAGGTTTGTGAAATTTGAAGCGTCGATATAATGACATGATAGCTAGAATTTGAGCATATTGACATGTCGAAGTTAACTTCTGGTCTGGCCGGAAGTAATATCAACTTTCTTATTTTAAATCGAAACCCTATTTTTTTTCTTTTCGCTTTATTCAGCATTCAATTCCCTTCCTAATGACATATCACAAGTTGGTATCTAACCAGAAACTAGATCAGATAAAATTTATTATTGAAATTCACCGAGTAGGCCGTGGAAGCAAAATGAAAGCCAAAAATGACTTTGTCATCAGAAAGGAATGGTTATGCTGAATAGTACAGGCAAGAAAAAGTTGTATGTTCCTATTTAAGTTATGGACCTACAGGGTATTGTTTTTTCCCAATTTTTCCAATATTTTTTTTGGTGGCTTTTTATAACGCCGACGAATGAAAATAAAATATCACAGTAGTAGCAATTGTTATCAAGTGACGTATGGTTTCCATAGCCAACTTTTCAATTTTTGGCTTTCATTTTGCTTCCACGGCCTACTCGGTGAATTTCAATAATAATTTTTTTCTGATCTAGTTTCTGGTTAGATACCAACTTGTGATATGTCATTAGAAAGGGAATTGAATGCTGAAAATAAGAAAGTTGATGTTACTTCCGGTCAGACCGGAAGTTAACTTCGACATGTCAATATGCTCAAATTCTAGCTCTTATGTCATTATATCGACGCTCCAAATTTCACAAACCTACTTCATACAATAACTGAGATATTCCGTAGGCAATACTTCCGTAGCCACCCGGTATGTGATATATATCCGGGAAAAAAGTACTCACTTTCTTCTCACGGGAAAAAGGTAATTTATGAAAAGTGACATTTTATGACCTGCCAACAGAGATGAAATGCCAAACTTTTTTCCCGTCACAGAAAAATAACTATTTATTGTCAGATTTTGATATAATATCACTAAAATAGTTTTGTTTTTCCAATTTGATATCCTCATTGAGTTCTTTCTCAAAATGGTGTCTCTGATCCTCATTGCAGGTGGTCCTCGACCGGTCTGGCATCTACCTGGCCACCTCCTGCACCGACAAATCGCTCTCCGTCTACGACTACTACTCGGGCGAGTGCATGGCCACCGTCTGCGGCCACTCCGAACTGGCCACCGGCCTGCGCTTCACCAACGACTGCCGCCGCCTGGTGTCCGCCTCTGGGGACGGATGCGTGTTCGTGTGGCGCGTGCCGCACGACATGGCCGTCACGATGCACGCCAGGTTGAGCCAGCAGGCGATGCGCCAGGGAAGGAAAGTGGACCAGGAGGTGTTCGGAGATGGGGGGACGTTCGAGTTCGAGAGTGATGTCGGCCTTGACGCGAATTATAGGTGAGTCTCATTGGACAGCGCGACACAATCCTGAACGTCCGACACGAATTTATTAACAGAAAGGTGAATGGTGTGAATCCTGGGCAGAGGATCGAGGGCATGCCATTGATATATTCAAGAAATTCGACAATAAGCGTAGGTTAACATAATAAAACTTCACTGTGTTAGGTTTTAGTGAGGCTCTTTGAGATTTTCAATGTTTCAATCGCGCTTTTCTATTTCTACATGAAATGTTCATTGTGAAACCACATAACATCTTTCGGGATTGAACACTTTAGTGTCAATGAGTACAGTAAAGTGTGATACCTGCTGCTTCTGATCCTAGGTTTTCTAGGTTATTCAGAATTAATTTGAGTTCTGAGTAGAGTTCCTCAATGTACTTGACACTTGTCTTTTGACCTTTTTGTATATTTGGAGTACTAACTCTGTGACAAGCACTGCCAGTGGAATGAAACCACAAATAAATGGATGGAAAAAGCGGTAACTGACAGTACACGAACACATGATATCTCCAATGTTTTGTCAAACTAAGAACAGAATTAAAAAGGAATATTCTCAGATAAATTATGAACATACAAAAATAGATATATATTTATATAAAGCAATTCAATAGAAAACAACTACTTTCCTGGCAATAAAATATAAAAACTTCTGAAATTGAGAATTTGCATTCTCCTTCAGACAAAAATATATACAGTGTGTCCCACTTACCATGCTCACCATGGGTATCTTTTTAACCGTAAGAGATACGAGGTCGGTTAAATGACACCAAATGTGAAGTTTGTCAAGGCCAACAATAATGTGAAAAAATATTTTGATAAAATCTATTCGTTTTTGTTTTATACGCAAAAAACCGATTTTGATCATTTTCATGTCTCCTCCGTAACTTCTTTATTTATGAAAATATTCAAATAGGAATTTGACATTCTCATGGCAGTTTTTCAAAGTGATTTAGAAAAAAATATGAGATTTATACCAACTCTTCTTGAATCTGAGATATCAGCACCAACTTTAGTTTTTCAAATGTAGGTGATAGCTCACTATGACTTAGTTACAAATAACTTTTTTTTCTCTTACAGATGATATGTCGCAGTAATAGTTTTGTGTTGATAACAACGGAGTTATCGTCATTTATACAAAAACAAAGAATTATTTTGAAGCCGCCATCTTGAATTCATAAATTTTAATAGAAAAATCATGATCTCCGACCTCAAAAACCCCCACTTACCAATTTTGAATGGAATCGGACCAAATCTTGTCCGCCATCTTGGAGCAGCCATTTTTTTTTAATTTCAACAAAAATTCCATAATGCATTGTCACCGAAATGTTCATAAATCCGGACACACTGTATATGCACACATCATTCTGAATATTCAACATAAAACAACTACTTTCCTGGATATTTGCCACATCGAACATTGAATTTATAACTGATGAACATTCAAAAGGAGAACAAGAAGAATAAAAAATAAAACCCTCCGAAATTGAGAATTGACATTCTTCTTCAAATCGGATGAATAATATGATGTATAATGATATAGAAATATAACTTACCATATATTCAACATTGAACAAATATGTCAACGTACTTTAACTGCTACATATATCTTGTACATTCACAGGTTTAGTATAGGACAACTTCCGCAATGGGCCAAAAAGCAGTTCACCGAAGATGCTAGTCAACCGTCCAGTCTCAGCAAAGGAGTGGCCATTCCTAAGGGAAGATGGGCGCAAAGAGCCGAAAATGCTATGGGAGTCAAATCGTTTTATTCCAATGGCAACAATCCTCATCCATTTCCTCCGTTAGGTGAGCTTTTCAAATTAACTAATGTTGAACAGATTTTTTCTGTTAGGGGATGAGTGAAAAAACATTTCCTGCAAATGCTTGATTTGTACGAAATTAACTTGGGTTTTTGTTTCTTATGAATTTAAATAGTTACATTCAATATTTATCATACTGTAAGGAAATAATAAAGACAATATTGTAGTGCTGAGAATGAAAATTTGGAGGAGTTGTATCATAGAAGTACAATAGGAAATTTACTCACAGGAATTATTTTGGGGTCCAGTGTGAAGTGCAGCGACTTGACAATTGATCATTTTTTTACTAGTTTGTTCTGTGACTAGAACAACACAAAGTAATTTCTAACCCCATCAATGTAGTTGTTAGTTCTCAAGTCCTGAGAATATCAAGCCACATTGTTAATATTAAAGATTAGTAAACCACATAACAATATGTGCACACCATATTGGAACTCTGGAAATAAAACTTCATGACGAATTATTATTAGAAATTGCATTATTAGATGGTATAACCATTAACTAATATTGATTTCATCTTGCTATGAAGTTTAATTTCAGAAAACGAATTCTTTGGGATATTAGACGAAATTATTAATGTAGAGTATTCCGAGTTAATTTATGATGTTTATTCAAACTGAAACGGTACTAACATTATTTTGGCCCACTCTATAAGCCCTATCATTTACGACATGACCTTTCCAGACACCCTGTAAATATTGATTAAATTTGAAAAAATGCCCGAATGAAAATAAAATTCGACGGCTTCGAACATTCTTTCAATTATTCCTATAATGTTCAACGAATTCATTCACAACTTTACGGAGGCACTTATTCAACGGACTCACTGTATACAAAACTCATGTGTAATATATTTTATTTCTGACAGTGACATTATAAGCTTATATCGTCATAGTTACGATATCTATAATGAGGGTCATAACTCCCTTGGGATGTTATAGATGCTATAATTCCCTCTAGCTAAAATTAAATAAGAAATGCATAGCAACAACCACGCAAAAACGTAGCAATAAGGAATCTCCTATCAGTCATAAATAAAATTATCTATATATCACGGGAATTATAGAGCCTTAATAACCTCTGGCAATTGCTGTCCCTCGGGCCAGAGGCCCTCGGGACGCAAACTTTGCCATCGGTAATTAAGGCCCTCATAATTCCCTTAATACATAAATAACTATATGAACTCAACTTCTCATGGAGATTCCATTCGCGAAATTACTAGACAACAAGCTGTCATAGCAATCACCGAATATTTTCGGCTAAACACTATCACTTGTGGTATTACATATATGACAAAAGTTTATATGGAAAATTTGTTTTACAGGGGGTGAGAAGAAATTCAATATAAGTTCATTGAAAAAGTACTGGGTCAATTTTAGTATGTGGTGAATCAAACAAACTGCTCAAGTATTGAAACTTCACGAAGGAAATAAAATGATACATGTTATTTTGTTATAGTACATACTTCACGAAGGAAATAAAATGATACATGTTATTTTGTTATAGTACATTGTGTCACAAGGGCAGAAAATGAGCTTTAACGTCCCGCTGCAATTAGCTGCACGAGCTAAGCTAAGGGCTGCTAAGGCGTTTTCTGCATGTGCGACACACAACTGTTATTCGTCTACCAGAAACATAATTGTTTTCTTGATTCCGAACTTTGATACACACTGACGCATCACGCAAGTGACATTCAAAGGTCTAGATAGTGAAAAATTACAAAATTGTGTTGTTATGAGTTAAGCAGCCCAAGGGACAATACACATTACTTTCGTTATCATATATGGTAGGCGAAAAAATCAATTGAATCGACCATACGTGACGAAATCTAATATTCGACTAGTGAATGGCTGGCTTGATTCATTATTCTGATGACTAATTAGTTACATCACCTTTGTAAACGATTAACTCCCGAAAGATGATATTTCTTGTATGACTAAATTTGATATGGAAAAATAGTTTTACAGGAGGTAAAAACAAATCGAATATATCTACAATAAAAAAAACAGGGTCATTTTTAGTATATAGAGTAAGTCAATAGTGTGTTCTCTTTCGATATCAGCCAAACCGTCAGATATATAGACACAAATCAAATACAACAGTCATAGGGTTTCATGAGTACTATTACCTACCTAAAATCATTTCCATATCTATAGGCTGTACGAATTCTAAGATATCGGCTGATGATGAGTATTTTAGATGGGACACCCTGTTTTCAATTGCATTTTCGAATGCACTGTCAAAATTGTTACACAACTGTTTTTGATTTTCCTGTATTTGACTCCACGGTTACCAAGTTATTCAACAATTTTCGTGAAAAACTGATTATGTAGAGGCCAATAAAAAAATATTGTGATTCTTATTTGGACATTAGAACGAAATAAACTCACACGAGTAGAGTCCAAGATGTGTTCCATTCGTTCTTACAAAATGAGTGCGAAATATTGAACACTGTCAATTTTAGACGGAAAAACTTGACGGGATTGAAGATGCCGAAATTTTATTATTTGAAATAGAATACCCTGTATTTTTTTACGTTAACGGTTCCAGATTCAAATTCTACTCAATTTTTCTTTACATTAATATTGCCGTTCTTGATATAAATCGATTTATACGAAAAAAATTATCTTTACCGAAAACTGTATAAAGTATATATGTTTGAAATCAGAAGAAAGAGCTCTTCCTATTAGAAATGTGTCCCAAATAAAAATATGGAATGGCTAGCTATTCGCACTCCATGTGCAATGATGTACCATTCTACAACTCGCTATATATATGGGTATTAGTACCGAAATATACATTCTTTTCAACATTTTGAATTTCGATACGATTCCATTAAATTTCATGTGCTGAAGAATGGTATACCAAGTTTTGAATAGTTTCGTATACCTATAATTGAGTCCCTACAAAATGGCGAATGTTTTTGCAACTCATTTCAATACCTATTTTCAGTACCTCTGTATAAGTTAACAAAGCGAATTATTCCATGCTAAATGAATACGAAATTAGAAAATATTTGTGACAACTCATAACAAATTGGCGAATATTTTCGCAGCTTCATTCATCTAGACCTCTGTATGAATAGGTAAAGAAAGCGAATTTCAAAATGTTTTCATAGTTACATGCAAATATACCGAAGCAAAATACCAACCACGTGATGAATGCCTCCATATATATTATACAAAAACACTTACCATCTTGAAAAAATATATCTTACACACACTGAAATGAAAATACAATCACGAAGCCGAATATGAATTCCAATTTTCCACTCTTGAATACTTCGATTTCTTTTTGTATTATCACTTGAAACGACATTACGCGAAGAAGTCTAGAACGAGACTGCTGATTGGTTCGATTCATCATTTCAATTGTTGTTGTTGTTGTTGTTGTTGTTGTTGTTGTTGTTACTTCGATTTCTTTTTGTATTATCACTTGAAACGACATTACGCGAAGAAGTCTAGAACGAGACTGCTGATTGGTTCGATTCATCATTTCAATGACTAATTAGTTACGTCATCCTTTCAACCGATTAATTCCCGAACAAGTTTGACTTATTCTAATATCGATAGTGGGAATACGGGGTGGAGTGAAAAGAAATTTGAGGATATTTTCCATTATTTTCTTATCTGTACGAGGTGTTATTGAATTGAGTTCATATATCCAGCAAATCAATCAAACATATGCTAACGAATATTCCTAGGATATCAGATTTTTGGTAATTCTTCTAATAAATAAGAAATTTGATCTCGAAAATTCAATAAAAATCGCCTTTCGCATGGAAATTTGTACAGAGGTGACGTCAGAATTGCTACAGTGTAGAACTTTCGGTGGAAAAAGTCTCACTCTGGATTTTATTTTCCCATTTTCAATAAATCACCCTGTATATTCGGTATTTACAAAACCGGACGGCAATGAAACGAAACTGAGCGAGAGGTGTTTGAATGTCCCTCTCTCTTTCGCGATAAACTAGGAGGATATTCAATTCTCGCCAGGAAATGATAGCTTCATATAATAATATAATTTCTCTGAATGAAAAAACCCATTTTGATTGCCTCAAATTTTTTAATCCATTAAAGTTCGTTGAATAAAACCATCCCAATAAATTCTGTCTTACCTTGCTCTTTGTTGTAGGTTGGTGGTTTCAGGGCATGGAGATAGAGTATTGTTTACCAATCTTGATTCTGTTTCCAATCTGACATAGTGTTTGTTCTTTGGTATTGTGTGCTCACTGCTCAAATCATAATATTTAACTGATGTATCTTAATGTTCCATGATCTGCTTGACTTGACATTTGAAATTTTCTGACGTCTGTCATGTAAATTTTTATAACCTTCAGTTTCACGCACATGTGATTATTCCTCTTTATCAGGTAAATTGTGATGCCTCATCAAACTTTTAGTTTGATTTTTCAAAGTGTAATTATCACCTTTCGGTAATTCAAGTGCACGTGGGCCCTTGTAAAATATGAACTCAACCTTTAAATGATAAATTTATAGTAAAATAAATAAATTTATAACATAATTTTATATCATTTTACAGTGACAGTAAGCTTTTCAGGTGTCTTCACTTTTTGTCTTAATATTCTAAATCAATTGTTTTCCAGATCATGGAACATATTTCATATGCACCGTTATCAACTATACTATTTGTATGCCTACTTTTTTCATCTCCATGTAAGTACTAAGTAATTCTTGCATCTATATCCGAAGTCAACAATGATTTTTCTAGAACTATGATATTTTCTATTGGCTGATGATGGGCTTATATGAGCCCGAAACATGTTCCTTTAAGATTGATCTTTGATCATTCTAATAAATGTTGTGCAGATGACTTCGGGTTTTCATCTATGAACTGTGATGATATGATAATCCGCGTTTCGTTTCAGATAAGAGATTCGATTCGGATGGTGGCTCAAAAGACAGCTCTCTCGACAGCGGCACCGAAATAAAGACCTATTCGGAAACACGCACGGAAGTGACGACGGTGACGAAGCTGAGCTCGAGGTCGGAGAGCAGGAGGGGCGTAATGACAGATGACAGCGCCATCGGGGACGCCGAGTCGACGGCGCACGACGGCGACATCGATTCGGATAACGAGTACCGGCACCGGGCTATTTATTATCCGTCGCAGTCGGCCGCGCAAAGGTGAGTTTTTTAGAAGAAGAAGAAGAAAATAGTTATTTATTATACAAGGGAAAAAAGTCGTAGATTTTAGCTCCAGGTTGTGTTGTCACCCGACGCGTAGCGGAGGGAGACAAAAAACCGTGAGCTAGAATCTGATATTTTTCCCGTGTATAATACACTATTTTTTTCTGTGACAGAAGAAAGGACGAATCAATATTGAGACGATATTACATTATTTTGAAATCTGAAAATTATCGACCTGAAATTTTAAGTAAGTAGGGACACCTGCGTTGTAGGCATCTTTATCATTTTTTTTAAGTTATCAAATATCTGATGTCACTTCTGTCAGTCTAATTCTGTGATTTGATTTCAAAAAATGCGAATTTAGTGGTTGCTTAGTAATATACGTAACCGTGAAGTCGAATGGAAGATATAAGGACTTGCAGTTTTTTTCCTGAGACGGTATTATTAACTCATTTTTTGGAACTATAGCACAACAGGAGCCATTAACAGTGTATATATATGTGATATATATCCGAGAAAAAAGTACGCACTTTTTTCCCACAGGAAAAAAGTAATTTATGAAAAGTGACATTTTATAACCTGCCAACAGAGATGAAATGCCAAACTTTTTCCGTCACAGAAAAAAAAGTATAAATTATGAATGATGGTCTAGGGTTGATTTTATTAAAACTATTTATTCGAAGTAAACCATGCATGTGTTGCTCCGGGAGCGTGTTGAGTCTTCGAAGTATGGAATAACAATCTCTGTATGAAAAGTTCTTGAGAAAAATCAAGATAATAATCCTGCAGTTACAATTCTAAGAAAGTATCATATTCTTGCTGATGGCGTCACGTTCTTGATAACTCTAGAAGAGGCGATGCAGGCTATGCAGTTGGATATATGGATTTGCAATTTCATCACAGATATTGAAGATTGTGAGATTTCTGCATAAAAATGGTACTTTTGTTGGACTATGATGAAATGCACAGTTCTGGAGTGAAATCGATTTGAATATAGATGCTTCGAATTCCAGTAATTGGGAAAGTGAAGAAGGATTTTGAGTTGAAAAAAATCGTGAACGGCTTTTTGATCAAAATTTCACAAGATTAATGTTTCTTAAGAATTCAATAAGCTATTCAGCAGATTACTGGGTTTCTTGAAAATATCCAGTGACATGCTGCTTTTTTCTAGAAAATGGGTATGTAACCGGTGCATATTGATTCATCTGTATATTTTTCATATCAATAGAACTGATAGAATGAGTCAGCAAAGGTAATAAAATTGATAAAAAATTCTAAACAGTACCGAACCTATATAGCTAAATAAGTACAACATCATTACTTTCACATAGTTGAACAGGAGCAGATTGATAAAAATTGAGAGTTACAATCAATCATACAATACAAATGAATAATTAATAGAATGAAAACTCAAATTTTTCCAAGCTATAAAAACAATTCCGTAATAATAGTTCCTTCAACCTCCCTTTCAATACTTCATAAGAAGTACTAGCTTCCATTATCAGGAAGCCTTTTAAAATATAAAGTTCTCCAGCCTCAAGAGCTGATTTTCTGTAAAAGGTGTATTTTGATTTTATGGCTGCCAAATAATTTTTATGTGTCGTGTTATGATTGTGGATATTGGAATTTCTTGAATTCATTTCGCACCCGGTAAATGTGACATAATAATTTGAATTAGTAAATAGAGGTTACATCAGTGGAATAATAAAGTTTTTTAATCGATAACTTCAACGCCCTGTATTATAAACCATTATCAAATTATTACTATTTTCAGTGGCAGTGAGTATACCGTGACAAATATAGATGCTGATGAGTTAAGAAAATCTCAACGGAAGAAGAAGACACCTCAAATTCTTATACAACCTACTTCTTCGACCTATGGTAGCAATGACTCTGATGATGACGATGATGAGGTAAATAATTCAAAATCAACGAAATTAACAACATTCAAAATGTTATTTGAAGATCAAATACGAATTGACAATATTAGACTTGAGAAGGATCAGACATTTTGGGCTATTTCTGTTGGTAGCAATCACTGACGAATGTCATATATGTCGAAGGCATTGTCTTTTGTGAACGTGAATTAGTTTGAAAAACGAAGTAACCAATTAGTCGTCTTCCCCTCATTCCCAATAATGGGGAAGTTTCCTTCAGATGAATTTTAATAAAATAAGTTTGGAACTCTCCAGTTTTATGTCCACGCTGTACAGGATGGCGACCCAGTCCAAGTCGGTTTTTATTTTCAAATTAAAGCAATTTCTAATTTTCGGCGCGGCGAAGTGTGACGTACATTCTGAATCTAGTCTGAAAATAGCTGATAGTGAAGAATATAGCTAGCGAATAGCTAACAGAAGAAAAACGAATGAAGAAAATAAAAGAAGTAAAACTGGTAAACAAAAACATATATAACCACAAATGCACTCGGAGCAGAAATTCAGAAGGTAGTTGGCTTCATTCTGACAGGTTATGGTTTTGTTAGTTATGCATTGAAATATCTCGAATAGAGCTCGATCCTAAACGAAAATATCATCGAATCAATGAATCACTATCGGCTACATTCAATGATACTATCCTTCCTAATTTACTGCCATCTGTCAGAACAGAATGAAGCTGGCACCCATGGCTCCTTCCTCTTGTTGTGCCTGTCAGTATTTTGAGTGGTGTGGATAGACTGGAAGTATTAGGTTCGTTTTATTAAGAAACGAATTCATTAGCATAAAAATGACTGTCAAGTTATGAATAACATATTGTAGTATAACGATAGTAATTTATTATAGATATTATCGCAAAATGTCATAATTTATCTTTATATTAGTAATCAACCTAATTCAGCCAATGAGAGATTTATGGGAATTATTAACAATACTTGACAAAGTAGGATTGAAGAACCTATTATATCCCATTGCTGTTATGATATAGTTATTATGCGTTCAAAGAACAATTTCCGGAAATCTAGACATATTGATGATGTCGGCAACGTCGTACTGGCACAGGGAATCGTATTTTAACTCTATGTGAATGTGAATTTTCCTCTTTTATTAATTTTTTTCTGAAGTGAAAAAAGAAAAAATACGTATATATTAATTTTTTACAAACTTCACAGTGAGTTAAAAACCTCAATGTAGGAAACTTCCCCATTAACAATTCAACAGTATTTGATATGATAGAAACACGATAATCTTGACAGTGACGCCGTTTTCATTCACATTGGACATCTTTGTAACCAACCTCACAATAGGAAATGTCTACTACTTGTAATATAATAATGAAATACCTGAAGTCAATCGATTTTTTGTTGATTTATTTTTCGTGTCACCATAGGCTTCTACACCTAGTGGAGAGAACACGGATAGAAACCCATTGTCTTTGTTCTCTCTAAGTTCGGAATCTCTTGATCAGCTCGTTACCCGAGAACGTTATCTTCAGTCGACGTTTGAGAGCATGTCAGGGGTGGAAAATGAAGTACACACACCATGTAAGTATCAAGCGTTCACTAATTTCAAAAGGGAATATTAATCTGCATTCAAATCCATACATATAACAGAAATTGAAGGCGAGAATTAATGAATCTTCCCCTAATTCGATGATGTTTAACAATCAGGGACATGTTTTCGGAACTGAAAAATATCATTTTCGGACAATTTATCGGCTGATGATGGGCTTATATAAGCCCGAAACACGTACCTTTAATGATCTTTGATCATTTCAATTAAAGTTGTGGAGATGACTGGGTTTTTCATCTATGAACTATTCATAAGTTCTGCAGTACAAAGAGCGATTTGTGTAAAGGCACTAATAATAATTGCAATATTCTCATAATAATCCTATTTATTATAATGCTCAGAGATGAAAGTATTCTTCCTAAGAAATATTCCACAATCTTTCAGTGCTATCTGGGTGGGACGTTGAATTCAAAATTTGCCAAGAAATCTGATTAGTAAGATATACCGGGTCTTCAACAATGATTGAGTGTCACGTGACCATTATTTATGCGGCGTCTCTTTTTCACCCAAGTTAAAGTAATACGAATGTATTCTTGGTTGCATAGTAATCTCTGTCACGTGGTTTTCAATCATCGTTGTAGACCCGTTACATGTCTCGAGGTCTTCGTTCCTTGAAGAAACATTATCAAAAATTGATTCAACTATTTTTCCGTTATTCTGAATCAACTTTACTGATGCATTCGTATAAGGTTGGTTTGGTTTGATAAGAGTCAGTGTTTCAAATTCAATTGATTTTAGAACAATGATAAAAGGAACGAAGAATGGATATTCATTGTGGTAACAACATTTTAGTTTTCAGAATTATTTTGAACGTGAAAACTCCTGAATTTTGGGGCATTCTTGATATTTTCCCCGAGTCACCCTGTGTTTTTCAATTCATCATGCAAAATTTTATATTTTTTTATTCATATCTACCTCAACAGCTCTACTATAAATGGTCAATTGATCGTTTTTGATTTTTTTTCAGCGAACAAATCATCAATCTCGTCCAAATTCCTCACAAAATCCGGCGAGAGAAATCAAGAAGCCATAAATGCTGTAAAACAAACTAAGAACGATCCAGATGCCATCAGAAAGAGGCAAGAGTTGAATAAAAGAGTAGCAGATGCCAGAAAACGATTAGAAAGTGTAAGTATTTTATTTGTTTATTAATTATCCATTCATTTATTTATTCGTCTATTCATTTCTGTATTTGCATATCTTTCAGTATTATATAAGACGTGAATCATAAGACAGTAATGACTGGTGAAAGATTATTCATGGTTTGTTGATTGTTATTATAATATTATCAAACTACCATTTCTGGAATCAACATCTAGACTATTCAAACCAAGGGATCTGCTAAATATTGACACGCTCTCTTGAAATGAAAGTATGCATTTCCATCAATTTTCCATCGGCTCGGCTACGTTGTAAATTGAATTTTTATATCAGATCTGCCAGCAGTTATCGAATAAATTAATTTCCATTGTAATATTGTCACGATCTCTTGAGATATTGAAACTTTGTTATAATTTTCTAACGAAATGTTGAATTACCATATTGACAAAATTTAGGGGAATTAAATTTTGATATTATAGAGACATAGTGAATTGAACACGACAAATCGAATGCGCTAAAAATAAACATAGCATTACACATGAAAAAATGAAGTTGGGGGCTTTATAGGAAAAACTGTAAAATTGGCAACGTTGCAAATATTATTTTTAACTCTATGTCAAGTCGTTGCTGAAATATTCGGCCGTTCCGGTTCTCTCTGAATCGTCTAAGGGTGTGCATAATGCCACCTCAAGTATTGCAAATTTGAGTAAATGAAACAGGTGTAGTAATTCTTCATTCAAACACCTAACAAGAATTAAAATTCAATTACGGTTTCCAGGTCGGTCATTCGAGCCCGCTCAAATACAGCCAATCGATCCACGACCTCTCCCACATCCCCGAACGGGACAGATGGTCGAAAAAACAAGGTAACGTTTCCGGCGACCATTCGCCGACCTCGTACGGTTGCTTCTGTGGTCCCCAAGCTAACCAAACTCATACCCACTCGAGCGGTTTATCCATTTCTAACCTTACTAACAGCACCGATAGTTACATTAACATTCCGCAGAACAATTCGGTCCCTACAGATCTGCAATTGTGCGGCTGCTACATGAGAGATTTCGTCGAAAACACATCACAGCTTTCTCGTGTGCTGAATTTGAGTCACAGCCTCGCCACTGCTGATAGTAAAGTAGAGTTGAATACTAAAGATAGCTTTATAGGTGCCAAATTGAGTCCAGAGAAGAGCTTGAACGATTTCATACGTCCCAGGAAGCTCAAATTGGACAAAACTTTGGCCAAATATAAATTGCATAAAAGTCTTCCTGTCAGTCCGGTAACTGAAGAACGCAGTTTCTCCGATTATGTCGAAGTTCAGCAAGAAACTAGCGCTGCTCGTAAATCCTTCAGTTATTTTGTTGATTTCGAAAAGAAAGTTGATACCAATGAAGGCTTCAAGCAAGTTTGTAGCGACATTGAAAGATTCAGCGAGGACTTCAACAAAAAGTACGAACAGATAGAACAGAACTTCGACAGCCAAATAGATGTAGCCAAACCCACAGAGAAAAAATCGCAGAGCCAAGAGGAAGACGGTAATTTCAGTTCGGATTCCTTAGAAGACTACAGCTTTCTTTCAGTCGGTACTAAGAAGCAGAAAAAAATTATTCCGCCAAGAAGGTGTGTATCCAACAACGAAATTTACAAATATCAGGAAGAACTTCTCGAAGAGATCCCGAAAAGCGAGAGTTTCTACCTCAATCCGACAATGAAAACGTCCCAAGACAGCATCCTGTCTGACGACAACCTAGAATACGACTTGGCTGCCGGAAGAGATAGAAGCTGTTGCAACAGCATGGAGAGCGTCCTCTCCAACGAATCCGATTGTAAATCGGCTCCCCTCGAAATATTGTTCGAATCTCACAGAAGATCCCAAAACCTCATACCCCACTCGAAAAGTGTGCCCAAAAATATCTCCAGCAGTTTGCCTAAAAATTATCAAGAATCTTATGAGATGCCGTCCTATTACGATTACTGCACCGTAACTAAGAGCCCTGTGAAGTGCACTCATGGCTCGCCTCAAATTCTCAAAGCGGTGAAGACTTGTCAGACCCAAACAGACTTCGAGACTCCGCTAGAAGTGGTCGTGAAGAAAGCTCAAAGGGGCAGCGAGGAGTTTCAGAAGAAGTTGCTCAAGTTTGAGGAGAAGAAGCCGATCAGCTTCTACATCGAGTCGACTAGTAGGCAGTCGAGGAGCTCCAAGGAAAACGTGCCGTTCAAACAGAAAAACGCTTCCGAAATGTATATCCCGTCGTTGGCTAGCAAGAACAAGCAGTACAAAGCCAAGTTTTGTAATGTCTTGAACAATAAGTCGGAGCTGAATTTGGATATATTCAGTTCTGCTGGTAGAGATCATTCTTTCGCGTTGTCGACTGTCAATTTCGAGAAAAATACCAACAAGAAACACGTCCAAGAAACTTCTAGTCTCGATAGACATTTGTTCGCTAAAAGCTTGTTGACGAGTGAGAAGATCTGCCATAAACCTCCCAAAGCTGTTCGTAGACACAGTTCAAAAACAAGAAAAACGAAGACTAGCTATGAGTATGTTAAAAAAGAAGAATTTTACAATAACACTGACAGATTTAATAAAAACAAGGACGTGTTGAATAACTTGACTAACCAGGATATTGTTTCTGATGAAAATACTATAGAAGTCAATTTCAAGGAAAAATTGTTGGACAATGAGTTGGAGGCCGGTAATCAGAAAGGAAACAAAATACTCAGCGAACTTTATGATAGTCTCGATAAGAACTCTTTCAACACGAGAATGGATTTGGATTCTCTAGAAGTCAACTTGAACATTCGCGAATCCGAACCAAGGCTTTATGATAGCTTAGAAGTTAACGTTTGGTCTAAGAACAGCGGCGTTTCCAAAAATACAGCAATGCATTTAGAAAACGTTTTGAAAAAGCCGAATTCGCCTTCTCGAAAAGACAAAATAGCTTCCGCCTTGGAAAGCATCAAGATCTTGAACGAGATCAAGAAGAAACTGCACCGAATAAATAACTTGGTGGATATCTACAAGCAGAAAATGGCTTCCGGTAGAGTGAGAACGTTGTCGAGCATGTACGAGTCGATGACGAATTCCCCTAGCTATTACAACGATCTAACCAAGCTTCAGACGACCCCAATCAAGTTCCGAAGGAGAAACTTGAGTTTGCCGACCTTCATCGAGAGAAGACTCAACTACGATAGATCGGAGAATGGCAACAATCATCAGAATAACGACAAAACGGCTGTCGATGTTGAGGATAGTGATTCGAATTCAGAAGGTGAATACAATTAGGTGTCAGCATGAGATGTGTTGGCCGAAAAAGCTGTAAAAATGTCTGCCTGAAGAAGATTCCCGCTCTGCCTATGTTCAGCATAGAACCATCGCTTTTCCTTTTTTTTCTCTCATTAAAGCATGCTTTGAAACTGAGCTACACTGTAGAAAACAATTCAGAAGTGTGTCTATACCGGATATATCTCACTGTTTTTGTCTCTCCAACATACAGGATAATTCACTTTATGTTGACTGCTCCCCTCAACTCTTGATCAAAATATATGAAGAAGTTGATAACTTGTTTCTATTCTGAGGGAAGAGTCAACATCAGTGTCAGGGGAAGAAAGTTTTGAAAATATTGCGAAAAAATGTCTAAGTGAGCGTTTGTGTTTCCCATTTTGCTACCAGAAAAATTGAGGAATAAAAATGGATACTGATATGTACAGGGTGCCCTAAAAGGCATTCTCTATGAGATACAAGGTGTCAAAATTATGAAAAAACTTGGGGTTTATATCAATTCCTTCTGTACCCCTATCGGAAAAAAATTGAAACTTGCTATACTATTCCAGATTAATCAATGTAATCACATAGATTCTTCCGTTTTGAATTTCTTTATTCAGTGGGGTAGTACCCACATTTCCCTTCATATTTTGTTTAGACAAACGAAATATCAAATTGCTATATTATATCAGTTAGGCATATCGATACCTAACCAAAAACATTCCACATGCCTAAATGTAGAGCTTCCTGAGATATTTTAGAAAAACTAAAGATATGTCTTGAGGTAATATTAAGTAGAGATCCAGTTTGCTTCTTGCCATGATCGCAGAACGCTGATTTTTCACGAGATATTGAAAAAATTCTCAACCTGAACATTTTTGATTGTTGAGAAAATTGGAAACATAGTTACGAGTGAGTCAGAAGTAGATCAAAAAACTTCTTATTACTACTTATACCTCACGATATTTCAATGTGAATAGTTTATATTGTTAAATACTGTCTGTAGGTTAATCGAGGCGGTACATTCATTATTCCAGATTTTTTTGGGATTTGCTCTCTTCGTTTCTATAAAATAAAAATATGAATATTATTCCAATATACGTGTAGTAAGGACAAATCAGATGATTTGCCCCAAAATGTCACTGCGTTTTAAGAATTTTCCTATCAGAGAGCCTAAAAGATAAATTCACTATTCATTGACAATTTGTTTTGAAAAATGTTTGGAGAAGAGAAATAAAGGTATATAGAAAAAATATCACCAATTGTCACTAAGAACTGAAAAGTGTCAAGACAATTAGGAATTTGCTATTCAAATATCCATTTTTTATGTTGAAAACGGGAGCAGATTCGTTTCCGAAACGTCCAAAGCTAAGTGAAAATTTGATATTTTTTCTTCTTCTCCGAACCTTTTTCAATACAAATTGTCACTGACAAGCTAGTGAATTTTTCTTTCAGGCCCTCTGATAGGAAAATTCTTTAAACGAAGTGACATTTTGGGGAAATCATCTGATTTGTCCTTAGGTTGAACGTGAGTGGGCCTATTGTCAGGCCCTCCACTGCGGGAACCTCTATATTCAAACATGTGACATTATATTACTCTTAGGTTAAAAATATCAATTAGCCTTACTGATGTCACATACCAATTTGACATTTTATCTGCCTAAAAAGAAATATACGAACGAACGTAACTACGCCACCTTGATTATTCTGAAATAGTATACCGAATTTAAATATTTTTCCTAGAGGGGAGGGCTTCTGGATAAATTGATATAAACCTTATTTTTTTCGTATTATTGACATTAGGACATACATTGGGAACTTTTCACCTCGAAATGAGATAAGGAGTTCGTATACAAAGTTTGTCGGTCTTATTCTGTCTCACCCTGTATGATAGTCAATTAAAATTTTCAGCACTTAGTAGGCTCAGTCAGAATGAAAATTTCATTGAGGATGTGGCAAATAGTCTGCAGATAGGGGATCAGTGGTCCTGTTGAATACTTGATTATACATCTTACATGTTGTAGTGGTCAACTGGCTACAATAAGGTTCATCGAAACAATTGGATTTTTTACATCTGTATACGTAGTTTCAAACAATAATTCAGGGAGATTCAGAGAAGCTACTTCTCTTCAAGTATTTTCCGATCTCTTCACAAATATCTGATTCTTTCTTCTGAATAGTGTACCTATTGCAAGATTTCAATGTTGAGCACCATATCATCGCAATAGTCGTGGTTTTCTGATAAAACTGTTAGATATCGTCCAAACCAATGTATCCTGTTCTGTTTCATCATCGATCCGGCATAGACAAACTACTCGTGAACCGTTTCGATTGTTATATTTAACTATCGTGTAGCTTGGCGGGATAGTGTTTCATTTCTTTTCGCATGTTTTTTCAGTTTATTTGGATGAAAGCTCCCCTGATAGCAGTTTGCGTAGATCGTGCAGCTTGAGTGATTTGAGTGTGCAAATGCCTGTCGTGCCAAAGAGAAAAATCGATCAAGGTAAGTTCCCAGCGAGCACAAAAACATCTCAGGAATGTTAGAAGTACGAGATTTCGAGACATTGAACCTCCACTGCCATGTTCTGTTTACACATGAATAGAACTTTTATACAAAAACCAATGTTTATAAGGATATCCTTGAGATGTCACAAAAATACCTTCTCCTTAGTTTTTTTCATAGCCTTCTCATGGACATTTTCAAAGCGCCTTGCGTATATCAACTCGCTGTATAATAAACCATATTCGAGGTAGTTTTCTGAAGCCATATATTAGAATGAATTTATGCATTTGGATTCCATTTCCCTTATTATTATTACACTGAAATTACACTGAGACACCAAACAACACATCTTGCATTTGCTAGTCATTATTCGCTATAGCGTGAACGTGATTTGCAAACGCGAATGCGAGCAAGAACAACGAAATCGGAAACAAATCGGAATTCGTCGTATTGTGACGTAAGCATGAGACGTTGTGGTGGGGCAAACAAAGAAATGACGAGAAAGAACAAAAACAATACTTCCAATATCCTTCAAAGACCTCTTTGGGAAGTGCATATTACTTCTCAAGAAATCATCCTGATGCCTAAATTTTTAAAACATTCCAAAACATTCCAAAACATCCCAGGGATACCTCTCAGTGGGCAAACAAAGAAATTCCACAGAAGAACAAAAACAATACTTCAATATCCTTCGAAGACTTCTTTGGGAAGTGCATATTATGTCTCAAAAAACAGCTTCATTAAACCATGTTCAAAACATCCCAAAACATTCCAGGGATGTTTTTGCTCTCTGGGTTTGGCTTCCAACTGGGTCAGCATGGAACTTGCTGGAAGTTGATGAACAATTTCAAAATATATATTGTCTAAATCATTTGACAAGGAAATCGTCAATCAATACTGAAATAATTAGTATGGTGTTATACGTACAGGGTCCCGCCTATTTGATAGGGATACTATTGCTTCTTTCATAGACATATAAAAAGAGGAGAGACCAAATTGTTTACATTTTGTCTCGTTCCAACATCGTTTTCAGCTGAAAATGATTTCCATAGATCTACCGCCTGTGTTTGAGACTGAGGAAAGCATTTATCATACATTAATTATGTAATTTTTCATGCATATGCATTCGGTATGTTTGTTCTTTGATTCAAATATGTGAATCCTGCTATTGAAATAGTTGAAATTTTACTAATTTCATCAATACATAAAATTATAATGCGTATTATGGAAGTAGGTGTGGCAACGCTGTATTTGCGTGTTTACTACGGGTTACGCATAATTTTCTTAAAGTCATTCACATATATCAAAATCGGATGTTTCAGTGTTGATGTGCTGTGTTTGTTACCATTTTAGGACTTTTGGTGTTTTCATTAAATATTCAGTGTTTTTTTGTTATGAAACTATATGAAAACAATAATTATTAAAAGTCTATCATGGTTCGCCAGAGCGTGGATTGTGAAAAAGTTCACCATATGAACCCAAAGGGTATATGTTTCTTTTAACTTGAGCAGTGGTGTAGTTATTGCAGGTTATTCAACTAAATTATTGCAAGAAACGTTGTTTCTTTTGATGAAATTCTACTGAATGATGCATCAAAATTAGGTAAGTACCTAAGGTACTACGAATATTTGGTATTAAAATTGAAATATTAGACCCAAACATTTTTCAAAAGGTATAATAGCGTTGTCATTGTAGTAAAATTGTCTTGCCCCTCGCAAAATCTACGCGACTGATGAAGGCAAGTGTAAACATTGACGCACAGTTTACAGCGTTGCCCTTTGTCAAAGCAATCTCTTTCTAACTTATATGAAACTTTGGAAGTATGTATGATTGTCAAGAAATAGTATTTTATGGATTAAATTCTATGTCTCCCCTCTTTTTATATGTCTATGGCTACTTCCTATACGGTAAGAGATAGGAAGTCCATTAAATTAGACAAAAGTTGCGTAAATGAGAAAAATTACAAAACTTTTGTTTAATTTGATCAGCTTTTTATCTTACCGTTTAGAATATAGCAATAATGTCCTAATGAAATCTGTGGAACCCTGTATAATGATACTAAAAATACTAATGATAATAATTACATTTTGACACAACTAGTTCTTGCATATAAATATATTCATGTTCCACCAAGAGATAATAAATATAGTCTGGTTAATATTTTTTTTGCGTATGAATGGAATTAGCATAGACCTACTCACAACATGCTATCCTCTTTCAGAGTAGAGTTAGAGCAGCAACCTCTATCATGACGTTTGTTGACATGAGCCACATAATTATCGAACGCAAAAGATTAAACAATTGCATACGGTGGTGTTCGTATGTCGGGACGCATTCGAGTCTGCTATTGCAGAGGCGTGCAGTACTTTAATACTTGCATTTTAAATCCATTCCTAAAACATCACCGCACTGTTTCACTAAAACACCTGACCTGGAATTGATTTGATTTATTTCTTGACGTTGTGACGCACGTATAAAGAAATATTATACAGACTATAGATATTGTGCATGTTGCTTTTTACGCACTTCCACAGTTTGCTAAAATTATTGATTTATATATTTTTAGCAATGTGTTGTTGTCACAAAGTATATATTATTGTAGTAATTATAGTTAATTTCCATACGAGAATTATTTAATAGCTGTATATTATTGAAAACTAGACATTGTTCAATTATTTGTGTCTGAATAAGTTTCTTCAGCTCAGCATTACCATGGAATTGATGAATTACTACAAATAGTGAAGTTGCCTCCAACCACTCAAGGTCGCATAATTACTTTATCGACCTGTCCATTTCATCTAACGATCTATCGTGACCTTATTCAGTATTTCAATATCACTATTGGGGAAGACCACAAAACCACATCATCGTGAGCTCTATAACAAAAAATTATCAGTTGATATAATTTCGGATCATTTCATTCATGCTAGGACGATAAAAAAGATATGTTTTTGTGTGACGGGAAAAAAGTTTGAAAATTCATCTCAGGTGTCATTATTGTTGAAAACTTCAAATTCCATGTGGATAATTTTCTGATTCTAATTCAATATTTCATCTTCTCAATATTAATTCGTCCTTTTTCCTGTCATAGAAAAAAATTGTGTATTATACACGGGAAAAATATTAGATTTTAGCTCATGGTTTTTTGTCTCCCTCCGCTAAGCGTCGGGCGACAACACAACCTGAAGCTAACATCGACTACTTTTTTCCGTTGTATAATAAATAACTAAAAATATGTTCACTTCAAAATACACAATGGTGTCAATTCATTTGTGTGACTGGTGTGACGTTATAAGTCCCAACACGCCTATTGTCCTTGAGCTGACCAATCACACTGCAACACTGCAGTTCATTGTTCCAGTATATCACCTGACGAAGCTACTGTGTTAGCGAAACATGTCGTGTGTTTGAAAATTTTGTGAAAATCTTATCGTTTGTGAAGTTTTTACATTTGCCATGGATTTCCACAAGTAACGGCCGAGTCAATTCAAAACACTGTAATATTTTAGATATGTTCAGAATGAAACAGAGATTTTTTAATTTTGATCGAAATATGATGGTTGTAAATAAAATAGTATATAAACCTCGGTAGGAAGTTTTATTCCTGTCTCGAGATCATAGGTTACCTCGACGCTTTGCGTCTTGGTTAACCAACTATTCATGAATGAATATCTTATTATACTATTATTGATTGTACATCAAATTAAATGTAAATCATGATTCATCGATTGAAAGAGGTTTGGACGGATTTCATCTCTCAGTGGTCTTCCCCATTATATCATTTCATTTAATATTACAATTTCAACTGAAATGTTTCTGAAGGATATTATTGAAAACATTTGATGGGCAAGCAGAGTGACCCCAGTACACTCTGAAAAGTTACGAGGCCTCCTCACTATTTCATCAGTCTTGGCTATCTGCTATCTCAGAAATGTAGAGGTCGGCTTATTGCTGGGCTATTTTGGCATTGGCGATACTAGTGGCGTCAACTAGAGCGACTTTATGAAATAGAGTGGCGACAATAGTGATGCACTTTTTGATTGGTGAGACCTCAAAAATGGAGGTACATCCGCCTGTGTTGTTTTCTCCATTCAGTTCTACGCATTATATTTCACTTTGTCACTATTTCTCGCTTTTTGGACACGAAACATCCAACAATCAGACATGAATCTCTATACGTCGGTACCTTGGATATCAACCTATTAGAATCCGTCTTGAATGAATGAAATGAATATAACAAATATCTAAACCTAACATCAGGTGGGCACTTCGAAGGCGCAAATTTATTACTGTATGGAGATACACTTCAGATTTTTAGCTATTCAGTGACTTGACTAAGAATTAAATTCCGGTAATGGCAGCCATTTTGAGGTCTATTGTCGCTACTCTATTCAATCTACTCACTCTAACGTCAACCTCACACTTTGACTGACTTGTCCAAACCCTGTGGAAGTCTAACAAAAGGGGAATATTTGATCAATCGCTATTTATTGAATTAGTGTTAGAAGGAGGTGAGGCTGCAATAATCCTGACCCTTCTTTATTCACACTAATAAGATGATCCACCTTCATGTAGAAGCTGGCGCTAGCGAAAGGAAAGTATGGCCGATTCGTATATACTCTAGGAATCTGCTTGACTCCACCTGGAAAACCTAAAAGCATCTCTAAAAATATACGTCGAACCCTTTGCTATTCAACAAAAAGTAGTTCACCTTTTCGCTCATAGATATCACCACCTACTGAATATAATTGTTGGCTTCATTGCTTCCATAAGGATGGTTCATCTTGTCAGTGTTAATAATCAAGGGCCTTAGGAATAAACATTATCTTATCGAGTATACCGGGTAATTCAAATTCAAGGGCCACCATTGGGATCTCGGTAACTATAGGAGTTACTAAGATAGTCATGTTACTAAACATATGCCGTCGAGAAAATTCATAAATTCCAAGTATTTCCGGAGATATACCGGAGAAACAGAAAATTTGTAAAATCATTTTTATTTTTTCAGCCGTTCAATAATATAAAAATTTATAGCACATTTACATGACCACTTTTTCCCTGCTGTACGGTAACATTTTCAGATTCACCAACCGACGTTTCGTCTTTACGCCACCATCATCAATTTTATTTTTTCCTTTGGGTGCCATATTGGATTTTCATCAATAAAGAAGTTATTGATTTGGTACTGTCTTCACCTTCGAAGTTGTCAACTGGCCCAGATGAGATCCCTTTGTATTTGATAAAAAAAATTATTTATAATTTAGCAAAACCTATTCACTTGCTGTTCAATTCACCTCTTGAGAAGGGAAAGTTACCTAATAACTGGAAACACAGTTTTGTCAAACCTATTCATAACAGTGGTTCACGGGAGAATGTTAGCAATTACAGAGGTATTTGTAATCAGTCAGAGTTACCGAAAATGTTGGATTGTTTGATGACTAAAAAACTATCATGGGATTTTGAAAATATTATACAGGGTGTTTCCTAACTACGGTTCCTAACTGCAGGTGGTGATTCGTTAGGTCATTTTAGAAAGAAAAGTTCCTATTAACATATGTCCGGAGTTGCTTCGTTTCTGAGATACAGGGCGTTGAAATTACAGAAAAAAAACGATAATTATAAAATATCATGATTATCCTAGAACCGATTTTGTTGAAATTTGGTACTTTCATTTGAACTAATAAGGCGCTTATTTAGCCCTATTTAGATTGAAATTATTGGGGCCAGTGGCGTCTCAGTGGGCACCACAGCCAACAATATTGTGAAAAAAAAGTACGCCACTGACTTTTTTGGTAAATTTTTATTTTGTTTAGATGGAGCAACTCAAAATTCAACTTTTTGGTCTCTTGCATGTTCTTCATATCCAGCTTCGTTTTCGAGAAAAAAAATCAAAGCCACTGTATTGCATATCATGAACACCTGCATTGGAGAAATGAGTTTTTTATTATTTCGGACAAAAATTTAAAAATTAATTATTATGCTGAAATTTCAGAAAAATGACAAATAAAAGTACCAAATTTCAACCAAATCGGTTTCAGGATATTCTTGATATTTTATAATTACCGTTTTTTTTTCTTTAATTTCAACGCCCTGTATTTCAGAAACGAAACAACTACGGACATATGTTCATAGGGACTTTTCTTCTTAAAATGACCTAACAAATCACCCCCTGCAGTTAGGAACCGTAGTTAGGAAACACCCTGTATATAACCAACAACATGGTTTCTGTTGGGGTCGATCAACATCAACAAACCTGTTGCTTTATCAAAATTATATCATCAATTCATTTACACATCCTCTTCTAAAGCCTTTGATAGAGTCAACCATAGTCTGCTACTTGCAAAACTTGAAGCTTTGAGTGTAGAGGGGAATATATTAAGTTGGATCAGAAGCTATCTCACTAGTAGAGTCCAATATGTGAAATATGAGCTCAGTTTCACAACCAATCGAAGTACCATCAAGTGTACCATATGGATCTCACATGGGACCTCTGTTATTTAATCTTTTTGTCAATGACCTCCCTGATGTCATCATCAACAGTTCCTTCTTGATTTTTGCCGATGACCTGAAGATGTTTAGAACGGTTCAATGCATTTCTGATGTTTGCAGCTCGATCTAAATAACTTTTCCAGGTGGTGCCATATCAATTTATTAAAACTGAATTTGAATAAATGTCAAAAGTTATCATTTTCACGAGGCAATGATGCTATTTGATCATATTTACAGAGTTAATGACACTATCAGTAACCAATGCAATTAAAGAATTAGAAGTAATATCCGACTCGAAAATGACCTTCAATCATCACGTAATAGTAACATCATCTCGTGCTCTTGAAATGCTAGGCTTTTCCCTTCGTTCTGCTAAAGAACTATCTGTTAATGCTGTTGAAATTATTTATTGTGCACAGGTGAGGTCTATTCTTGAATATAATTCTTTGACCTGGTCACCATTTCACAAAGTTGATTCTGATCTTTTAGAGGGTTGTCAAAATAAATTTTTAAGAAGTTGTGCATATCACATGGGATTCAATAGGGATGAATATAGCTTTCCACAAATATTAGATATTTTAAACATGAATACATTGATACATAGAAGAATGGAAATTGATCTATTATTCCTCCTTAAAATTATCAATGGCTACATTGATTCTCCTGAAATTGTTGCTCTGACTACGCTTTCCGCAAATACTAGAAGAAACAGAAATAGTGACATTTTTAAGATACCATTCTGCAGGACAAATTATGGCCAAAATGAATCCATGAATAGAATTATAAAAAAAGCAAATACACACAATTACCAAATCGAACTGTTCAATTCATCTTTATGTTCTTTCAGGAATGCGATAAAAACTGTTAATCACTTATTTCATAATCCTTATCTTTTTATTCGTTTTAGCCTTCTACAGTTTTTTGTGTTAGTCTTCTTCATAGGTTTAATAATATGTACGTGCTCTGTATTTTTATACTTTCTTTTTGTAAATTGCATAATTGGCTTGTCCGTAATGAATAAATGAATAAAAATAACAATAGGATTTCATCTTCTGATTTCAACGATGTATAGCACGTTATATAAAAAAATATAACTGATTTTACAAAATTTCTGTTCGGAATTTATAGATTTTCTCGACGGCATATTCTTAGTCACATTAATGCGCAACTTCGACCTAATTTAACCATCTTCGTATCTCCTATAGTTTCCGAGATCCCTATGGTGACCCTCGAATTCGAACTACCCGGTATACGTTGACGTTGTCTCTAACAGTTTCAGGAAAGAAAAATACCGGGCCAGTTGCTCGAAATGCCTCGAGGTATACGAAAAACAATTCCATAACGCGCAGCAGGTCTAGCGGCGTTTTGAATCAATCGGATTCAGATCAGGAGACGCAGGACAAGAAAGTGTCCAGATTGATGCGACCTACAATAAGTTCGCACAATAAAATCAACAACAAATCCTTGCAGAACCGGAAGAAACACTCCTATTCTACAAGTAAGAGACTTTTTATACAAATATATATAATCACCCTAGAGTTAAAAATATTCTTACTATTTCTAAATGTCATCGCAGCGTCCTCGAATGTCTAGAAAATCGCTAACTTGTCATCGAATTAGTGTTATGCTGTAATTGGATTCAACAGCGCCAACTTTGAATTACTCTAAAGTGGATAGTTATACTAGGTCCCGCCGATTTCGTAAGGACAGCTATATTTTTCTGAACGGCGAAAGACAACTGTTGCGTAAATTAGACCTACTGAGTCTTTAGTATCCCGTCTTGCAGCAAACTGGAAAAAAAATTAGTTGTATTTGAAATACTTTGAAAAAAAAACTGAAAATCATTGATTTTGTATGTATTTATTTTTTTGGTTGATATTTGAGGAAGACTCTAGAAGTTTTGCGTGTATTGGTAATGAATTATCACGAAAATCGTCAGAAATATTCCATCTTCATCACTTCCAGAGATTCAACATGTAACTTCTCTCTTTCTTGTCGGCGCTATATTATCTGTATACCATTGAATATGGCTGAAAATTGCATCATTCTGTATATGCTTAATAATCAATGTTGAAATTTAAAGAGATGATTTATATTGTAGGTAATCTGAATACTGTTGGTACAACAGATAACATATCAACTTCAGATGAAGAAACACCTACTGCCCCTCCCAGAACCAAGCAACTGAGTTTTGATAATAGTCCACCAACAGTAACACCTAGAAGGCATTTGAACAATAAAGAAAAAAATAGAGGTAACTTGGTTTGTCACACATTCTCATTTTTTGTGATTATTCATTGATATGAACCCCAATTCTTGGCATTCTTTGTCAAAAAACCAACACAATTGGTTTTGATTAAAGCATTTTGTGAAATAACATAATAACAGTTGTCAGCTAATCAATTGACATGACAATTCATGTTATTCTCATATTTCCTCACAAACTTTTCTTCTCATAATTACTGGAACGTCTTTTGGATATGTCAGCCTTAGATTATTCAGAGCATTCGCTTCAATTATGTGGACTGATATAACTATGATTATCTCGATTATTAAGAACATCATACCAACACTAATTAAGTAACAAAACACAAAACTTCGTTACCTGAAAGCAACAAATAAATAGTAATAAAAAGTTCATATTGTAGAATAAGCACCTGATTGAATATTCACTAAAACAATTGAATTTTGAAATTATTCAGTATTTTATTCATTCAATTGTTCAAATTGATGTACATTGTTAATATAGACGATTAGCAGTCCGTTTGAGCGAAGCAAGATTCTGAATGGTCTAAGACTTCAGGTTACTTGTATTCAATATAATCTTCGTTGTTTTGTTCTACGACTTTCTTGGCTTGTAATATGCACTTTTTTTTTCTCTAGCTTTCAGGCACACTATTCATTTTGATGACACTATAACAAACGAAGACTTGGATTCGAATGATAGTTTCTCGTCTATGGAAAGTAAGTTCATTAACATACCATATTTAATTTACTGAAAGATTCCATAAGTAGCTGTACTGAAAATAGTGCTCATTGTGAAAACGATCTTCCTGAATGGATTTAGAAAAAAATATATATTTCAAATATCTATAGAAACATCAAGATTCCAGTTATTTCTCGAACTCACATGCTCAAACTGATTTCCATTCATCAATTCATTCTCAATAATCTTACATCAAGATTCCATTTACTTCTCAACTTCACATTCTCATACTGATCATTGATTTATATTCATCAAATGATTTCAACCTCCATTACCAGTTCACATGAAAAATTTCCTGACTATGTATTCAAGATTCAATTGAATATTGAATACATTTATGACCTCCCGCAGATACTATAATATTCCATATTGATTGAACAGTTATTAGATTGAAAGCACGGTATTTTCACTTAGCTTTGACGTTTGGGAAACGAATATGCTTCCGTTTCCAACAAAAATGGATTATTCTTGCAGTTGATAATAATTTCGGTTTTGCCTTCTGACACTTTTCAGTCACAGAGTATCATAGATACGAAACGCTTCTCCGCTTTCAACAGGAAGCAGGCTGTGAATAAGTGCGACAAAATTCCTTGTGATATTTTAGGAAAAAAAGTTCATGTAAACATGTGTCCTAACTTGCTTCGTTTTTGATATACAGGATGTTGAAGTTGATAGTATTGATTGTTTTTATTTATAACGCCCCTGTATGAGCTTTCATGGTGCCAAAATTCAGTATGGTTGGACACTGAAGAAGTCCAAAATTTCAAAAGGATTTTTATTGAGGTTATTGAGTAATCTCAATGAATGTTTCGAGAGTACCTACATTAAAATGTGGCGTACAATTATTTTAACCGTAAATATCGATAAATCAACCCACTGTGACGCCACTGAAGATATTTGTTCGAATTTAATCACATCAAAAGAAGCTCCATGTTACAATTAACAAAACCACCAAGTTTCATTGAAATTGGTAAAAAGACATTTGAGTTATGATTGAAAAACTATTTTTCATGGAAATATCAATACCCTGTATCTCGAAAATGAAGCAAGTTAGGACACATGTTTATATAAACTTTATTTTCTAAACTATCACAAGGAATTACCCCCTGAAATTTGTCGCACTTACTCACTAACACCCTGTATATGGAATGATTCCAATTGGCATAATGAATTTCAGTTTTCATTTTGTTCATTCAATGCCTTGTGTAACGATTGGGCTTGTGTATTCGCGATAGAAAGTAACACGTCGCCCCATCTGACGGCAACAACTTGAACACTTTTGAGCGGTTTGTTTTGAAGGATTAGCCAATAATTACAGAAAAAAATCAAATGTGAACCAATGAAAACAAAGTAAACAAACCGCTCTGACAGCTTTCGAAATATCCGATAGGTGACGCATGCTTATTTTCTATCGCGAATAGTTCAAATGCATTGGAAATCCTATAGCCTGCAATTTCCCAGCAAACATGAATAGGCGGTAAAAAGGCGGGCCATCGCTGTCAGCAGCGGATATGTATCGGCAGCGGCAAACCAATATCGGCAAAATGTTAGAATGACATAGGTTGTGCCGCCACGGCATGATGTACGCTTATTTATTATGTTTTTTTTTTCTTCCATCCCGTAATTGACCGTTATAGATAAGTCACAATCGAGCCGCTGTCGATTCGACGCAGGAGACAAACTCCATTATATAAATAATCTCATATTGTAGTATCACAATAACAATATATCTCCAGAATACTTTTATGCATTTTTTATGGTTGATCCCAGCAAACTATCGTCCGACATCAAGAATGATATATGATATAACAATAATATTATACTCGTTATTGTCTACCAATCCATTTTTGTCGTGATGATTTTGAGCTGAATATTTGTTCATTACCCTTTATGATGCTCCAATGCGAAGTTCGATCAGCTCTTTACCTATATTCGAAAAATTTTTGATTCACAGTAATAGATCAAACACTGGAAAAGTAATGTGGCTAGAACATGATCAGACTACACCTATTCTACTTCGTCAAATCAACAAGTTATGATAGGTATATCGTATGATCAAATATCAAATATAATTGAAGCCTTGTACTATTTCAATTATGTTGACTGATGGATTCGTAATAGTATCTTTCAAGTTTCGCAGTAGCCTAGTGGTATTAGAGTTCCTAAATGTACTTGACACTGCCGATTTTGACGTTTTTTGTATATCAGAGTACGGACACTATGACAATCAGACATAACCACAAATAAATCGATGGACGTACATGACATAAATTTCAAAGGTTTGACAAATTGAGAGAATTAGGAGAAATATGCAAGTTTGTGCAGTTTCCAACGGAAAATCAATTCACTCTATTCGAATTTCTATCGGATAACGGATTCTACAAAAATGGAAACACAATATGATACAGCCGGCATGGAATATAGGTTCAGGCCACAAAATTTGCGAGGTATTTGAATTTCTTGGTAGGGAGTTGGAGAATAGGATCGTATTAAGAGAAAGAGCCGAACCCACAATTTATAAACTGATCGAGTATCGAAAAGAACCTTATTCCAATTCAGACTCTGGTTATTGCTCGTGATGGAATGATGGAGCAGAGATCACAATAGCCACCATGGAGATCATGGTCGATAATCTGATGATAAAATAGCAGCAACTTCCTGAATTGACTGACTCAAACTGATTTAACATCATATTCGTATACGAACTCTTATAATGATTTTGTGCAAACGATCAATCTGAAAACATATAGTCACTTTGTGGAACTTTGATTAACCAGATATTGATGTATCTATAATCTATATCAAAGAGTTGAATATATTGTTTGTGTATCGCTTCTTCAAAGTTGAAATCCCAAGTCTGAATGTGCATGTCCATGCGTAGTTGAGAAGTGCTAGACGACTACATAGCTCCTAGTGGACTTTGAACCACTTCTTGAGTACCAATATACACGCAAGATATTATCAGAGCACAGAACAAAAACGCTTAACAAGTGCACCATTCATGTTAGGTATTGAAAATGATCTTCCGATGGTCGGATTCAACCAACAATCCCCTTTAGCAATATGAACGGCGATCTATAGTGAGTCGAGCGCTGAAGTCCATTCATACCTACTTCCGTATGTCTTGGAGAACCTATATTTGTTTGGGCCAAATCTCAAACTTCCCCAATGTTAATTATATTTTTATAATCTGGCAACAACGTTTAGTAGTAAATTCATTACTTCAGGTATTCTCCGCTGGCGACGCCACTTCAGAATATTTGAAAAGGTTCAGTCATATATATCGGAAAAAGGCTAGCACCGGTGTGATAATTAATTAATTAATCGTGTAGCAATCAAATGGTGTCATGGTAGTTCGGTTCGATTAAAGGGTCTCAAGAGTGGCAATATTTCATATGGAAAGGGACATAATCAAATTCTCCTAAACTTCCTGCTATTCCTTTCCCTTCCCTTATCTTCATCTATAATGAAAAGCCGGCGAGCAGCACGTTCCGGAAATTTTGGGTAAGTCATTTTCCAATTTATTAGTGAACATCTCTTATGTAACATTGGTCCTTTGAGCCAGATTGGAAATTGGATTACTCAAGAGCTGAAGGTTATATATTACCTACGTTTACCTTATAAATAGGTATCTAATATAGTATTGCAATTAGCGTCGAGTTTTTTGTTATTTTATTCAGATATATCGGATATCGAGTTAAAATAAAAAGAGGCCTTGTTTTTTATTTCGGTCATACGATAGTATAGAATATCCTAATATAACTGAAATCAGCTGTTATTGTTGCCATATCATTTGTTTATTTATTAATTACTTATTACTTACCACTCTTTTGTACTAATAAAAGTATGTTTCTTGAAATTTATCAGTTTTTATACCATTCTGAACTTTTGTGATAAACAAATATTCAACTGAACGAATATATGTATATACTTACATATAAGAGACTAATTCCATAGGAATACTATATGTATTTCGTTGATGTATATTACTTACCTTGATATCGACCTCCATTGAGGTCCTTCAGCCTTATCATTCAATATTTCGAGAAGAAATAATTTTCTAATCAATTTATCGTACCCTTTTACCCACTCAAGGAGACGCTATGCCCTCTCATAAAAAAATCAAAGACAGAGAAAGATATATGGATGTACTCTTCCCAGGACTTGTGGAGTATGGAAGATGCGAGGATTCTTTATCCAAGCGAAAAACATATTCTTGTCCTTGTCTCGCAAAACATATGATTTGCTTCAAAATCGTTCGTGGTTATGTTTGATTGCCACTGCTTGTCTAGTGTCCGTACAATACAAAAAACGTCAAAACAGCAGTGTCAAGAACATTTAGGAACTCTAAGTGATATAAGCGTCTGACAGTTGATTGGATATCCGTTCGATCGCTAGTTCGAGTCCGACTCTCGACTATATCTTTTTTTATTTCTAACCGAATAGTGTCGGCAGATAGTCGGGCGGCCTACTAGCGGCCGGTGCGACACCGGCTAGCCGGGCCGACGATGTATCATGATTGTGGCCCGCTGATGTTGACTGTCGGCAGTTTTTGGAGGGCGTCTAAAGGCCCGCGCGATACATGTTTGCTGGGTTGTTTGTACATGTGCATATGCATTTCAGTATCGAATCAACTGTGCGATGACCTCATAGACCAACTGACAGGGACGGCAGAGAACGTAGTGAAGCTGTACGACAGGCTGAACGAAGGAGAAGAAAGCAACGAATCTCACATGGAGAAAATCGACAAGGTCAAGATGTCGATGATCCGCACCCACAAAATACTCCACGACTGCATTTTCAAGGATTTGAAGCAGAACAACGGCAGTATCGATGTTAACCAAACGGACACCGTCAAAAAACTCAACGACTTGGTGTTGAAGGGGGCCAACGGGCCCAACGCTGTAATTAACATCATGGAGCAGTATTCCGACATTTTGTTGGATATGGTTCAACAAAAAATACATAGTGCAAATATTTGATATCCGTTGAGCGTCAATTTCGAGTTGATTTGTTAACCTGTGATTTTTTTTATTATTTTATGTATATTTTTTATTTGAAGTTTTATTACGTAATTTTAAGACATTTTTCAGCAAGAAATCAAATAACCATGTCTTTCGGTATGGACGCAATTTTAGATCAATCATAACAATGGGGAAGTTTCCGTGGATGACTTTTCATCAAATCAATTTCACACTGGATAGGATTATGCTCCTGCAATCTATAATTACAATTATTGAAATGATTCAAATCATTTCTATTTTCGAACTGAAGCAATTTAAAAATATTTTGGCGGAAAACGATGACGTAAACGGTGAATCTAGTGAAAACATGGATAATAACTTCGTTGTGAGATACAAATCTCCGAGCCAGCCCGAACTCTCGCCCGACCTGAAAACGAAGAAAAAAAAAACGAAGTTTCACCTATTCCACAGAAATGCAACACCGCATCGCCGTGATCTGGAAGGTCTACTCTCGATTGGCTACCACGGCGACAGACATACACTGGTACGTAACCGTTAACCGCGCTAACGTAACATCAATTTATGTCATGAAAAAAATAGCAGGAAATAATGGGTCAGGTCAGAGGTGAGGTTTTATTCAGTTTCTTGGACGAAATAAACAACTGGCAGAGAACCCATTTTACATCATCCATTCAAAATATTGCTTAGAGAAATATTCAAGTTGAAAGATAGTTGTTGCAAGTATCGTTTGCACGGTAAAATGAAAACATTTCTAATGAGTCCATACACAGAATGAGAAATGGTGTATAACATAAAAAACATAATTATTGAATAATATGGGTATTTATTTCAAGTTTCCTAGAATGAGGAAAGCTATTTATGCAAGATACTATAAGGGCTTTTTTCATATTAATCAATATTTTCTCTAGTGAGTCATCAATTGAGCTAATTCAATGTTCTTCAAACTGATTATTCTCTGTGTGATCTGAGCTGTTTCTGTATCTTGCTAGAATAATTCGAAGTTGTGACCACCTACTCAATTTCATATCATAGGGAAGAATCCTTTTTAAATCATTGAATCCCAACTTATCATCACCTACTGAAATTTGGAGCTGCATCTCATTCAATACTATACAACTTGGAAAGTTATTTTCAATACATCTGACTGTGGACCTAATTGATAAATAGTTATTTGTTATACAATGGAAAAAAGTAAAGATTTTAGCTCCAGATTGTATTTTCTTCCGACACGTAGCAGAGGGAGACAAAACACCGTGAGCTAAAATCTAATATTTTTATTTATGAAAAGTGGCATTCTATAACCTGCCAACAGAGAAGAAATTTTTTTCCGTCAAAAGTAGGTTTTACTTTCTGCCTTGAGGAACTTTCCAGTTCCAAAAACTATAAGTTTTGGATTTATCTGCATATTCTCCAACTACCTGCTCGTAATTGAGAATAAAGTCGGATTTTTTAAAATCAACTATTTTTTGTATTCTGAACAGCTGAACATTTTTGACGTCTTTCATCAGGATCTATTAGGATGTATTAGGTTTAGGACCATAACTTTTGGTAAATTTGGAAAAATAGAGGGAACTGCTGTTTTAACTCACTGTGGGTTTCTTAGTAATTTTTCCCCGATTGGAAGAGGAAATGTATCATATCTAATGATATCTGTTTCAACGAAATGACTTGCACACACTGCAGAATGTCTCTCTAAAGATGGCTATGCCTATTCTGATGGCTAACTTACTCATAATGGTTATGATTATATCCTGAAAAATGAGTGAATTGAAAAATAATGAAATTGAATTTAGAGCTTGCTGCTTATCATCAGTGATATACGAGAATGTTACAATTCTGACTAACTAATTAGTCTATATAGATAAAATCAACTTGAATCACAGCGACCTGATCACAATCAACAGATGGGAATACATCGAAATTAGCGCATATATAATACTAGACCGCGAATCAAGAAGAAAGTAAGAAACTGTGAACAACAACAAACAATGGAATCATAACATCAATGAATTCGCAGCTATCAGCATGGTTTGGTGTGAAACTAGTTTTGGGCGCGGTTGCCAGTTATAATTGACTAATTTCTTGGAAACAATGAAAATCCACTCAGGATCCCTTCAAGTTAGAATTTCATTCTGATTCTATTCATAACAAGATTCAACTTTGACTAATCGAAGTATTCTAATAATTATCATTGAAATATATTTTTGTTTCGTGGTTTCGTCATTTCATCAAGTACCTATCCATAAATAATTTGGCTTATACTTATCAATGCAGTCAATACATATTCAGTACCCAAACAGATAAATGGACAGGGTGAACATGAGAGTTCACCAATGATGTCAGCAGAATAGTGAAGGAGCCGATACTATTTCTTTGATTTCTTCCCTTAAGTGAATCCTCAGCATATGTTGAGGAAATGAAGAATATATGTACATAATTATTATTATTATACGATAATTTTTCCATAAACTTCACGAAGAAATAACAATCTGAATATAGAAACAATTGTTAAATATTACTATACATATACAGTGTGTCCATTTAGTGCGTAATTCTTCGATATCTCGCAAGCCATAACCTATAGAGAAAAACTTTGGAGAAAAAAGTTCTTCAGTTACTAAAATTGCACATTTCAAAATTATTTTCAACATTACTGGGTGTTTTATAAAAGCAGGGCAACTCGAAGAAGAGTTTTTTTAAATGGAACATCCAGTATTGTTCATTCGGAATTGATTCCGCCAAGGTTCACCTTCACATCGCTGTAAAAAAAATTGAAATCGGTCGCGGCGTTGCCAAGTTATAATTGATAAATCTATTTTTACCATTATTGAAGAGTCACGTTGAATTGGGCATGGTATATTCATTTATTCAAATTTTGAAAATATTTTTGGCATACGGTAGAAGCAAGGTCCCACGTATACCAATCTAGTAATTTTACGACATGTTCTTCAACAGGGTGCTCAATTTTGCATTCAGAATTTTGCAAGATTCAGATGACATTCATCAGAATTTTTCAAATGGAACACCCTGTATTTCCATTCAAAAATTCATTCCGACATCTTTCGCCTTTTTATCGCTGGAAAAAAAATTGGAATCGGTTGCGGCGTTGTCAAGTTATGGTTAATTACCTTATTTTTACTACTATTTCGAGGTAATTTGTACGTCATAGTTCTTTCATTTAATTGTATTGTGGAAATATTGCGTTGCTACGGTATAATCAAATCTGTTCATTGACCATTCATATATTTTTTTACAAAAGAAACATTTACAGGCTCTTTAAGTTTGAATTTTTTTCGAAATATTTGTGTAATGACCTGTCAAACATCGCCACAATCAAATATATCTTGGATTGATTCAACATTTTGCTGAATTCTCTCCCAAAAGCCTCTTGTTTACCTTCATCAAGTTAAATGGAGATTTGGATTGTGGGAATAACGATAATAAAAAATGGCCCAAATCTCAAAAAATTGTCCTAATTTTCGCAATCCGCATCTTCATTGTTTGTATTGTAGGAGTTGTTTCAAAGACAGGCGTTGCTTTTGGCATGTTGGTTTGTTTCACATATTATTTGAATCATAAGTAACAAGATTACGAAATGTTTCAAATTTGGACGATGCACATATCACAAAAATAACTGAATGATCTATGTAGAACCTCGAATGTCATGTGGCAAGCAATATTTCCACACTCAAATCAAATTAAGGAATCATCATGACGTACAAATTACCCCAAAATAGTAGTAAAAATAAGGAAATTACTCATAACTTGAAAACGCCGCAACCGATTTTGATTTTTTCTTCTGTGATGAAAAGGCGAATGATGTCGAAATAAATCTGTGATGAAAAATACAGGGTGTTCTATTTGAAAAATTCTTATGATCGTCGTCTGAATCTTCAAATATTCAGAATGTAAATTTTAGCACCCTGTACAGGATTTTCTCGCAAGATTACTGGATTGGTGTACGTGACACCTTGCTACTACTGTATGCCAAAAATATTTTCGAAATATCAATAAATAAATATACCATACTCAATTGAACATGACACTCCAATAGTAGTAAAAATGGGTTTATCAATTATAACTTGGCAACGCCGCAACCGAATTCAAATTTTTTTACAGCGATGTAGAGCTGAACTCAAGCGGAATGAATTTCGAATGAACAATACTGGGTGTTCCATTTGAAAAAACTCGTCTTCGAGTTGCCCCGCTTTTATAAAACACCCAGTATTGTTGAAAATATTTTCTAAATGAGCAAATTTAGTAACTGAAGAGGTTTATTCTCCAAAGTTTTTCTCTTGTGATAATTGATTTCGAGATATCGAAGAATTACGAACTAAATGGACACACTGTATATTGTTGAGGAAGGATAAACATTCGAATTGACTGCCATAGTTAGAATCGTTCTGATTGGTCTGAAAATGCGACCATACCGACAGTAATGGTTATTTGAATTCCTGTCCTTTTTTAACCCGTTTTTTGGATTTGAGGAATTGATTTGAGTTCCCAATGAGGTCATTCCGTTACCCATGGCTGTTTAATCACTTTTTGTACTGACTGGTTGAGCCAAAACATTTAGATTAGAGCCGAACTAGATGTTAGTGAAGCAAAGGAATTTTTAAATGGTGAATAAGAAGTTATATAGTGCTTCCCCTGTCCAAATATACATGTTACTAATATTTTTTGTAAATTTTCAGTACCTACCTAATGCAATTGTGTATGATGATAAATTACTAAAGTGAATTGTTTTTATATTGTATGTTTCAACCTTGTTCATACAGGGTGATTCAATTTTTTCTGGTATTGAGTACATATAAACTAGATTGAATGCCCCTAAATAGAGTTTGTTGAAGATCCACAGGGCGTTGAAGTGCATCAGAACGTTATATTTTTTTCAAAATGAATCACCCTGTGTATTATCAGTAATATATTTTATATGAAATCGTCAATTTTTAAAGTAAGCTCATCTAGACTAATAATGATTTGTAACCATCAGACTGTATTAATTGTAATTTCATAGTAAAAGGATAAGATTATTATGATTGAAACATGTTTTTATTTTTTATATATCCCAGATACTTCCTATTTGCAGAATTATTGAACTTGCTCTCGAATAGTTTTCCAGATATTAACATTGAAGAAACTTCAGTGAAAATTGGTGTGAAGTATTACTTTTTTTCAATAAAAGCTAGAGAGCTGTGCTTCCACTCCGCACTAGATCATTCCTTGAGGACCCTGTATACTAAATTTGAAGG